AGGTCATGATCCTGGAGTCCTGGGATCGAGTCCCGCATCGGGCCCCCTGCTCGGCAGTGAGTCTGCTTCTCCCTTGGACCCCTCCCCCTTCTCATTCTCTCTCTCTCTATCTCATTCTCTCTCTCAAATAAATAAATAAAATCTTTAAAAAATAAAAAATAAAAAAATAAAATAAAAAGGGAGGTGCCCTGAGCTGCCCTGGGGCGCCTGGGTGGCTCAGTCGGTTAAGCGTCTGACTTTGGTTCAGGTCATGATGTCAGGCTCCTGGGATCGAGCCCCCGGTTGGCCTCAGCACTTGGCGGGGAGTCTGCTTGTCCCTTTCCCTCTTCTCTGCCCCTCCCCGCCTCACTCTCTCTCTCTCTCAAATAAATAAAATCTTACCAAAAAACCCCTAAGACCCAAAAACAGAGCGGAGCTGCCTTGCTCACTAGTTCCTCCTCTCTTTCCCTTCTCCCATTTCACTTCTCCACCCCTGGGGGGTGTTTGAAGGGGCTCCAGGATACAGTTTGAAACTCACCATTCATTGGTTCAAACTTGGAAAAATATATTGCTAATCATAAAAATAAATTAAGTCTTGTATTTTTCCCCCCAAAATGAGACTTATTAAGAAACATAAAGTGTAGTCTATGTCACAAGTCATTAATTAGCCAGGGCCAACCCTCAAATCCATGGTTGGAGCCATTTTCACATTGTTTATTTCTAATAGATTTTATTTTTTAGAGCAGTTTTAGGTTCCTAGCCAAGTTGAGTGAGAGGTACAAAGATTTCCCACATACATGCCCCCACACATGCACAGCCCCCCGCCATGATCAACATCCCCCACCAGAGCAGTACCTTTGTTACAGCTGATGAGCCTACATTGACACATCACTGTTACCCAGAGTCCATAGCTCTTATTGGTGTTTTCTCTTGGTGCTGCACATTTTGTGGGTTTGGACAAATGTATAATGACACATATCCACCATTATAGTATCATATAGTGCGGTTGAACTGCCCTGAAATTCCTGTGTGCTCTGCCTATTCATCCGTCCCTCCCTGAACCCTGATAACCACTGACGTTTTCACTGTTTCTTTCTTTTTTTTTTTTTTTTAGATTTATTTATTTTAGAGATGGGGGGTAGGGGCAGAGGGAGAGAGAGAATCCCAAGCAGACTCTGTGCTGAGCCCAGAGCCTGATGTGGAGCTTGATCTCACGACCTGAGATCATGATCTGAGCCGAAACCAAGAGTCAGATGTTCAATTGACTGTGACACCCAGGTGCCCCTCACTGTCTATTGTACTGCCTTTTCCAGAACATCATCTGGTTAGATTCATACAGTATATAGCCTTTCAGATCGGCTTCTTTGATTTAGCAATATGCATTTAAGGTTTCTCCATGTCTTTTCTTCACATTGCTTTTTTTTTTTTCAAGTGTATACCCTAACAGCTAAGAATTTTCTTCAGAGGGTACCTTCTTCAACAAACTAGAACTGTTTTTAAGACTTCTTTATTAAAGCACACAATTGCAGAGCCAAAAAGCAACCCTAGAGATTTGCAGTCCAAGCATCTCATTACATAGATGGGGAACGTGAGGTCCAGAGAAGGGAAGGGTGCGGGGTGAGTTCTCCAGCTCACCTTGGCAGAACCCAGATGACAACTCTGGCTGGGAGACCCCAGGCTGGTATACTTCGTTTGTGCCACACTCCTTGCTGCCCCGAGTAACTGGAGCCCAGTGGGATCCCAGGAAGAGCTTCTTTGCTTGAGTGACAGAGGTCAGACCCCAAACTCTAGTGGCCAGACACAGAGAGGTGGAAACCCCCTGGGGCTCTTTGGTGAATATTTGGAATAACTGTAGTGGGGTTCCTGAATTGCCTAAGCTTTGTTTTCTCATAGGAGCTAGGGGTAGACAGAGACTTAGCTGGTGCACACTGGAGCCAGCTGGGTTGTTAAAATACTGAAATACTTCTGGGCTGGTTGGTAAATTGCCGCTGCTGCGTGAGACCCTAAGTGCTCCCCACCTGACCTCTCCCATTTCTGCCCTACCCAGTCCTTCCTAAGATGCCCTGGCAGGGTGGGGGCTTCATGGCCATGTACCCCAGCATCCTTTCTGATCGGCTGGTGTCCCTGACATATCATTTTGAACATCACTCCGGGTGGAGGTTCTGTGGAGCTGCCTGCAACCTCCCACCCTTGCCCAACCTGAGGGCGAGCCCTGTGTTCAGTTGGCAGGAGCCACCTACATGGATATTCACCGGGCTGGAGGAGGGATCAACTTCACCGTGGAGCACACTCGCCAAGCCTCGGAGGAGGAGCTGTTCTGCTCCTTCCAGGAGCGGCTGCAGCGCATGATGAGGGCGGGGACCACGCTGGTGGAGTGCAAGAGCGGATACGGCCTCAACCTGGAGACCGAGCTCAAGATGCTGCGCGTGATTGAGCGTGCCCGGCGGCAGCTGCCCATAGGCATCTCAGCCACCTACTGCGGGGCTCACTCGGTGCCAAAGTAACCTCAGCTTGCGCGCTTGACTTGGGGCATTGAGGGGGCATTGAAAACAAAGAAGGAAGGGGTCAGCTGGTACCTAAGTGGGGACGTGTTGCGGGGGGGGGAGGGGAGTGGAGGTGCATCCATACTTTAATTCTTGCAGGGAGAGCTCAGTAGAAGCCGTTAGAAAGGTGTGTTCTGATTGTAATAGTCATCTCGTAAGGGTGGGTTTTTTTTTTTTTTTTTTAAAGATTTTATTTATTTGAGAGAGAGAGAGAGAGAGAGAATGGGAGGGGCAGAGGTAGAGGGAGGAGCAGATTCCCCACTGAGCAGGGAGCCCGATATAGGACTCAATCCCAGGACCCTGGGATCATGACCTGAGCCGAAGGCAGACGCTTAACCAACCCACTCAGGTGCCCCTCGCAAGGGTAGTTTTAGGAAGGTGATCCCCACCAGACCCATCCATTTGCTAGTCCCTTAATGATGAAGGAGGAAGAGGACATGTTCAAAATTCTTTCGGTTAACAGAAAGCAATGCCGCCTACTAGATCCTTTAAAATAACAGATATTACTTTATTTTTTTTAAAGATTTATTTGTTTATTTTGAGAGAGTGAGAATGAGAGAGAGAGAGTACATGAGAGCGGGGAGGGCTAGAGGGAGAAGCAGGCCCCTCGCCCAGCAGGGAGCCCGATGTGGGACTCGATCCCGGGACTCCAGGATCATGACCTGAGGCGAAGCAGTCGTTTAACCAACTGAGCCACCCAGGCGCCCCAGATATTTATTACTTTAAATAGTTGCCCATGACCAAATAATCGCACTTTAGAGATTAAAAGTAACACTCTGTAGGAGATGGATCAAATCTTAAAGTCAAGAGGACGCAGAATAGTTTTTATTTTCATTCATCTGTCTGTTTAGCAGCAGACATGTTTGTTTTCTTGTAAATGTTTTTTAGATTTCCTTTTATTTAAAGTTTCTCCTATATAGCTTTCTTGTAGAGGATTCTGTCCTTTCTGCATCTGCATCTGCATCTTATCTGTCCTGGAATTTCTAGAGCCAAAGGCCCACAGTTCCAGAACTAAAAGGTTCAAAAGAAATCTAGGACTTGGGGGCACCTGGTGGCTCAGTTGGTTAAGTGCCTGCCTTTGGCTCAGGTCATGATCCCAGCATCCTGGGATCTAACCCCTAATCCGGCTCCCTGCTCAGCAGGGAATCTGCTTCTCCCTCCCCTTGCTCTTATTCTCTCTCTCTCTCTCTCTCTCAAATAAATAAATAAAATCTTAAAAAAAAAAATCCAGGACTTGAAAATTAACAGGGCAAAGTCTTAGCGCTGTTTTGAGTTTTGGTAACTTAGATACATAAGTGCTACAGGCTTACAGAAATTATTTGAAAGTTTCATAACATATTTTTACATTTATTTAGTTTCGTGCAATTTGAAAAATAAGTTTAATGTTAATTTTTTGTTTACCATTTTCAATCAGAGAAAATAAAACATTAACAAATTTGTTATTAAAAATTCACAAAATTAATTAAGTAGAAAAGAAACAAATACTTAATATTTCCAATGATGTTTTTGTACATTTTTAACATTTGTACTTCTGAAATTATTAAAACTTAAAACTGCACTGAGACTTTTGGGACATCCATCTATAGAAAACATTTTTTTTTTTTTCAAACGGAACACACGGTGGGTGATAGCAGTGTAACATGGTAGAGGAGTCTTAGGCTTTGGAGCCATACCAGACCTGGGTTTGAATCCAGCTTTGCTACTTTCCCACTGCATGATTTTGAGGGCATCACTCAACTTTTTTGAACATCTGTAAAATAGCTAAATAACACATAATTCTATATGATTGTTTTGAGAATTAGGAGCAATATATGTGAGCGCCTGTCTCCTCACGGTTAACTTCTGTCTTCCCACCAAAATGGTTTTTGCTGAGCAAGAGATTTCTGTATGCCAAATACAGAACTAAAGTTTTACAGAAATTTTCTCCATCTGCCAATGAGTCTCTGAGGTCTGTGTCTTGATCCCCAGCGATACAGTCTGCAGCTCAGAGGATGCCAAATGATGGCTACATGATGTGTCCAAAGTTACATAGCCAGCAAATAGTAGAGCTCTGTGTCTATTTGAATTCAAAAGCCCAGCCCTTTCTGATCTATAACTACCGCAGAATCTCAGAGAGAATTTCAGGGCCTCCCACAATCCTCTTTCCCCATGGTTCCAAATGGTGAGACGAGAAGCCTTAGGCAGATGCTTCTAGAAACAGTGTAGAAGAAGAAAAAGGCAGAGTGATCACGAGGGCCCAGCTAAGAAGCATACAGTTGTGTTGTTAGGGAAGCATCCAGGATGCCCTCTAAGTGTCTTTGGCAAGCAGATTCAGTTTTTCAGCCGGCTGGCCTTGCTGACATTCTCGAAGGCAACACGGCTGGGCCAGAAATGGATGAGCCCTTTGAGTCTCTGTGTACAGAGTCAGTGCCTACAGAAGTCTTGCCAACATCTCTGCTGTGTCCTCATTGTTAAGACTCTTGAGTTATTGCTTTGATTATTTCTCTACCTTTTTGAGGCTTGAGGTCATTTGCCCATAGTTTGTGAGATTCTTCGAGTGCCAGAAAACCCTTTCTTTAATTTAAAAAAAAAAAAAAAATGTCCCCCCATGTAATCTCATTTTCTTCCCCCAGAGGAAAGACTGCTCCGGAGGCTGCTGATGAAATCATCAATAGCCACCTCCCAAAGCTGAAGGAGCTTGGCAGAAGTGGGGAAATCCATGTGGACAATATAGATGTGTTCTGTGAGAAGGGCGTCTTTGATCTCAGCTCCACCAGAAGGATTCTTCAAAGTGGAAAAGAGATGGGATTACAGATTAACTTCCATGGGGATGAGCTGCACCCGATGAAGGCTGCCGAGGTGTGGTTGATCTTTTGCTTTTCCTTTGTTAACACTCATGCTATGGAAAACTTAATTAGTTTTTTCAGAGGTGGGAGTAGCCTTCTGAAAAGACAGAGAATGGGGAAATTTGTTTGAACAATGTGTGGATTGGTCCAGTAGAGCCTTAGAATCCCGGACCTCTGTTAGAAATTTACTTTTTTGCTGCTCATTTACTTGTATGATCGCCAGCCGGTGGGATTAGTAGAAAAAGAAGCGCTTTTGTGATCTTGTTTAGCAAATCCATACCCTGTTTTGGTTGGCACACAAAGCCACACTGGCAGAGTCGACTGATTGCACATGTAGCTGCTAGGGTCTGTCTGTGGCAGCATCCAGGTGAACGTTGCCAGAGCACACCATTAATAGTCACAGGATGCTCTTCTGATCTCTGTGTCTTGCTCAGATTCATTTATTCATGCTTTCGACAAATATTTGAGTGTCTGCTATGTGCCAGGCACTGAGAATTCAGCAGTGAATAAGACAGACACAGTCCCCGCAGTTGTGAGTCGAGATGTCTCTCTAAGCCCTAGAGTGAAATAAACAACTGCCCTTGGGGCATAAATGCAGATGTGGACACTCCACACGTGTCTCCACCACAACACGTCCAATGTGATCTCTTAATATCGCTTCCAGATCTGGTCCTGTGTTTCCTGTCCAGTGAGTGACCCCATTATGTACAGATTGCCTAAGCAAAAAACTTGGATGTCATTTTGTCTCCTCTCCCCCTTGCCTGTCACATTTCGGTTAACCAGCAAGGCCTCCAGGTTTGCCTGCTGAGTATGTCTAGGTCCACTTCTCTTCCCCCCACCGCCTAGTTCAGACCACCATCAGCGGCTCTCGGCTGGACTCCTGCAATAGCTCTTCTCCCTGTGTCCAAGCTTGCCCGCACTTTAATCTGTTCCTTTAATCCCTGCCCTCCGTGCATCTTCTCTTCCTCTCTGGTGCTGGAAAGCACTGAAAGGCTCACCCAAGCTGGCAGGACAAATTTCAAACTCCGCAGCCATAGGCTTCCCCGGATCTAGCTCTTGCTTGCCTCCCATCTTCCTCTTTCTCTTCTCCCCCCTCCCTTCCCCTGCCCTCTTGACCACAGGCAGCCACCACAAATAGTGTTAGGACACCCAATATCCCACGCCTCTGGACGTGCCTTCTCTCATCTGAACACCTCTTGCCTGGCTAACTCTAACTCCGCTCTGTGATTCCTCTTAGCTACCACTTCTCTGGCATCCTTCCCAAACCTCTCCACGAGTGAGTTACAGTCCCTCCCTCTGCCTGTCCCACCGTGTTCAAATGGTCTCCGAGATCCTCCTGGACTGTCCCTGCGCCTTCCCAGCCCTATCCCTGGAGGTTAGCACAGGGCCTGGTAGACAGGTGGCCTTTACTGAGTAAATATTTGTGGAATGTTTGTTGATTGAATGTGAGCTAGGTGGTCAACAAGATACTTCTGGTTGTAGAGAGTGAACTGGTGAATTAAACAGAGGTCAATACCCGGGATGACCAAATCGAGTTTGGGAAAGTGAAGGTGATTCCAAGGTTAGAAGGAAGCTCACCTGGGGAGCAGAGTCTGTGGAGCATCCGACTCCCCAGAGCACCAAACCAGGATGCTCTTAGACCCGAGCTAGCTGCTGACGAGGGGCCGGCTCCCTCCTGCCCTGGCATGGGCATCGCTTCCTCTCTGGGCCACGGGGTAAGATGGACAATGAGTCTCCTTTCCCTTTCCTTGGAATGCTTAACATAATCACCTTTCAGCCTGGGGCACTGTGTGTGTGTGTGTGTGTAAATGTGTCACGCTGAGAAGAAACCCACTTTAATGCCATGTTCTCATTATCATCATAGCATTACCTCCTCCTGGTTTTCTTCTAACAGCTGAGCCCAGACTTTTTTCTTTTTTTTCTTAAGATTTTTAAAAATTTATTTATTTCACACAGAGAGAGAGATAGCGAGAGCAGGAACACAAACGGGGGCGTGGAAGAGGGAGAAGCAGGCTTCCCGCCGAGGAGGGAGCCCGATGTGGTTCTGGATCCCAGGACACTGGGATTATGACCTGAGCCGAAGGCAGACACTTAATGACTGAGCCACCCAGGCGCCCCAGTAAGCACTTGGATTTAAGGATAGTTTTTGAAGTAGCACACTAGCTAATTTTTAAATGAATGTCCATCATAAACCTTTTACCCCTCTGGGGGCTTGTGCTTGGCAGAGGCAGTTGCCAACACATTTTAATGACAAAGAGTGCTGTTTAGTTTTGCAGGGAAACCAATGTTCTGGCCCTCTGTTGATTGTTGTTGCTATTGGTGAAACCTTTCTCTCTGCCCGTTCCGCTTAGCTCGGGGCTGAGCTGGGAGCCCAGGCGATCAGTCACCTGGAAGAAGTGAGTGATGAGGGCATCGTTGCCATGGCAATGGCCAGGTGCTCGGCCGTCCTTTTGCCCACCACGGCCTACATGCTGAGGTGAGCTACCCTGGTGGGTGACAGCCGCGAGGACACAGACCCAGAGGCCTAAGTCTTATTTCATTGCCCTTCCACATTCCTTAAAAATGCAGATCAGGAAAACTGAGCTCATGGAAGATGCCAGTTCTGGAGTGAGGTCCAGGAAAGCGCTTAGACCCAAATGGCCGTTGAGTGGTGAGATTGTTGGAAAGAGTGGAGCTTTCTCTTTCTTTTTTTTTTTCCCCCTCATTTTTGGAATTTTCCAATTAAAAAATCAATATGCATTACTTTTATGACTAGAAATAATGAAATAGGCTTTCTACTTTAAAAAACATGCATCAGATGTTAGGGATATCAAGCAGTGTTCAGAATCTGAAGGAGCTGTTTTTTACTAAGAGGATGCAAGTGGGCCCCACAGTCCTCATAAATCCCCGGGGGTGGGAGGAAGGAGGAGACGTCTAAGTATGTTTTGTGAAATCTTTCCAGGAATTTTGCTGTTTGCCCTCTATGGATTGAATACACCCAGTCCGTAGCCCATCTTTATGACTGCGGTTTGGTTGTCACCACTAGAGGGCGCTACTGGCATCTAGTAGGTAGAGGCTCGAGTCGCTAAAGGTCCCACAGCGCACAGAACCACCTCCCACCACAAAGAAGTATCCTGCCTAAGAATTATCCAACCACAATTATGAACTGTGCCAAGGTTGAGACACTCTGCCTCAGGGATGGAAAAGCCAGGCTACAAATAACTTTTATTTATTTATTTATTTATTTATTTATTTATTTAATTTTTGAGAGGGAGTGAGGGCGCTCCCAAGTTTGCGTGAGCTGGGGGCAGAGGGAGAGGGAGAGAGAGAATATCTAAAGATTGTTCACGTCCAGCGCGGAGCCTGACAGGGGGCTCGATCTCACCACCATGACATCATGACCTGAGCCGAAATCAAGAGTGGACGCTTACTGACTGAGCCACCCAGGCCCCTTCAACTAACTTTTATAAGAGAGAAGAGAGGAATATTGCAGTACTTTTCTCAAATATATTATGATGTTATACACATAGGGGTCATATTATACATTTCTCTTATTATTACTGTTCTCTTAATTTAAAGAGTAGACATAATGTAGATTGCAACCAGGAAATACCAATCAATAACCATTTTTGGTATCTTGGCATTTCTAGCAAGTCTCAGTAGTCATCAATCAAAGTCATCAATCAATACTTAATCTGGTTAATTTTCCATCACTTGAAGAATAACGTTTGACAAAAAAAGGGTTCCTTTACCTCCCCTTGAATCTCTTAAAGATGGAGCAAAAATCTGAGACTTGCACTGTGAAGGGCGGCTCAGCAATAAAAGCCCGAACTTTGTCCCTACGCCAGAGGCAGCGGCCATCTGTGCTCACCGCAGGATGGGTTGACCATACAATTTGGACAACAGGAAACATTGCAGAGAAGGCCCCACTTTTCTCTCTGGCTTCTCTGTTCCAGTATTTTTCTGAGCTCTCCAACGAGAGCAACCTGCAGGGCTCCCTGCTGGGCCCTGAATTCTCTTGACTCTCATTTCTGGAATAACAGTGGCCTTATGCCACTTCCTTTAACCATTATTATATGCATCTTTGTGTGTACTGTTTAAATTTATTCAGGATACATTTACCTCAGTTTTTCTGGAACTCCCTTGATATGTCTACAGCCTCACTTTTTTTTTTTTCCTCCTTAAATATCTCTGGAAGGGGAGGGGAGGCCGTCAGAATGAACTGTGGGAGGGAGGGGCGCCTGGGTGGCTCAGTGGGTTAAGTGTCTGCCTTCAGCTCAGGTCATGATCTCGGGATTGGGCCCCATGATGGGCCTTCCTCTCCCTCTCTTCCCCTCTCGTGCTCTCTCTCAAATAAATAAAGAAAATCTTAAAAAAAAAAAAAAAAAAAGAATGAACTGTGGGGAAATTTTAAATTCTACCTTTCCTCACTCTTATCCCTGCTTCACCCAACTCCTCTCATACATTGTCCTGGTTGAGGAACATTATCTGAGGTAGTCCTGCCAATTATCAGTCATCGACCGTGAATGTTTCAAGAGCCTCCATCTTGGCCTATAAACCTGTAGACTCTCAGACAACTGCTCTCATCTGTCCCCCTCCCCCCAACACTGTGAGCCTTGAATAAACACTAGCGTAGTTTCTGAAAGCTCAGGGCTGTCTGCCAAGGATGACCCAGGCCCCCTTACAATGCCTGCCTGAGAAAGCCCAGCCTGCCAGGGGAATTTGCTGTTTGTTCCAGCAAAATCCACTGATTGGCAGATAGGCCCCTCTTAGAGCAGTTACTTTACAAATTGCAGTTGTAATTGCAATTATAAATCCTTTCTCTGCTCCTTTAAGATATAAATCTTCTACTACCCAGGATTGTCTTCTCAAGGACCTGCCCCTTTTCCCTCCCGACTTCCTCTTTCTTTCTTTAAAATGCCCAGTTACCACAAATCAAAATTGAGTCCAGACCGCACTGGACCCTTTCCCATTTGCAGTAGTTATTACTGAATACAGTCTGTCTTCACCCATTTAGCTAGTGTTTGGCTCTGTTTATCCCTGACATAACTTCTGAGTCATGTCCTAAAGAACAATATTTTGCCAAGGAGATTAAGGAGACACGCAACCCAGGAAGAAGCACAGACATTTTATGTATTAGATTCTTGGGCCTTCAAGACTTTAAAGAGCCTACCAAAAATGTTTGAGACCCTTCCCTACCCCCAAGGAGGGGGAGAGAGAGGAATAAAACAAAATTGCAAAATGGAAGTTAATAAAAATAGCATTATTTTAACCTCATTGTTTATATTTGGGAGTCAAAAAAAGTGTGTTACATTTGAAAAAAAAAAACTAAGTTATACTTTTCTTCCTTAGCAAGAATCTCTGAAAGTATATAAAGACTGCTAAAATAAAAAAAAAATGCTAAAATAAATGCTCCCAAATTAAAGAAATTAATCATGGGCAAGTCATTTCAAAAGCAGAGATAAAAATCAGGTGTCCCGGGGTTCCACCTGACTTTACCACTCTTCGTTTAACCTTGTCTCTTTCTTCTTTCCAGAACACAGAGGGGTTGGGTATCTTAAGTTGGCTTCCATTCTGAATATCTAATCTGCAGAAACTCTGCTTCCAGAGACTGACATCTTCCTTTCTTTTCCCCTCCTCTTAGACTGAAGCAGCCTCGCGCTAGGAAGATGCTGGATGAAGGGGTAATCGTTGCTCTGGGCAGCGATTTCAACCCGAATGCGTATTGCTTTTCAATGGTAATTATTTTTAATGTGACTTTCTAAGGAGAGAAACCGTCTTCCACCACGTGTATGAATAATTTAAAAATAGTTCACTAACTGTTAAAACGATTTTCTTGTGAAACAGGAAAAAAAGTGTAGACAGCAGGGTCATTGGATAGTTCTGTACCACATAGAATGCCTCTAGGAGAGAAAGTTCTATCTGCATAATCTTTTTGATTCAGGCTTGGGCGTTGTGGTTTGATGATAACTTACTCCGTCTTGGAGGATAACACAAGCTCAAAGAAGTTTTAGTAAATAAGCATGGAGGTGGGCTTTCATCTTACATAGCCAGTGGTCTTGAAAAGTTGTAAATAAATACTCAGTACCCGGGGGTGGGGGAGGTAATCTCTCTAATAAAGGAATCTTTTCCAAAGCATAAGAATCTTTACATGTAAATTAAAATGTTCTCATACCAGTTTAGCCAGTTCCTCCCATTTAATTTCCATTATTGGTTGTGCTGTGTTGAGAAATGCCCTAGGTAGCAGTTACCATTTTGTTCTTTCCTCTAATACGGTTCTTCCCTGCCTTAGCCAGTGGTCATGCACCTAGCCTGTGTGAACATGAGAATGTCCATGCCTGAAGCCTTGGCCGCTGCCACCATCAACGCAGCTTATGCCCTGGGAAAATCTCACACACATGGATCTCTGGAAGTTGGCAAACAGGGAGATCTCATTATCATCAATTCGTCCAGGCGAGTGTTCTTCCAACGGAGCTATTTTATTTTGTGCCCCTTGTAATATAGGCTAGGTTTAAATGGCTTTTCAGCTCAGTATTAGCATCCGGCTCTGTGTAGGCCCAGAAGCTCCCCAATCTCCTTTATCATCACCCCTTTCTAACCAGCAAGCCTCCCTACAAGTCCTAAACCACACGGCGTAGACAGACCAGCTTGTCCGGTCTCTTCATCTGTCTTCTATCTGTCATAGATCTCCAGGTTTCTGTTCTGTTTACCCAGACTTTGGACTTGTGCCCCCTGGCTTGTGTTCTTGTTTTTCTGCTGGAGTTCTGACCTACAGCTGGTGCTGGGCCGTGCATGTCCCAACTCCGGCTGGTCACCCCGCGTCTGATTCATAACCTCTCTGGCTTCTCACTCCTACCAGACCCCAAAAGCCTTGTTTCCGTTTTCCTGCCCCTGGGTTCGTATTACTCACACACAGTTGGCTGCCAACTGCATCTCCGATGTAACAATTTGAGTCTTATTTTTCCAAATCTGAAAGTCATAAGTCCTTGACCCTAGCAGGTCTATTGCATTCTTTGGTCCTCAAGCTCAACTGAAGAAAGCGACTCTGTAATTCTACTCTTCACTCTATTGAAAATAATGCTGATGTCACCTTTTGTATATCGCTTAATCGGATCAAATAGTTTGAGGTCAAATACTTCAACAATACCATTAAACAATATTTAAGTCATAGGCTAGTTATCATAGTAAGCTACTATTTTTTTAAAAAGCCTGAATATCAGTGAAAGGGTATAAAGAAATTTTTGGAGAATGTATTTCTAAATTAGCATTTATTGACAAAGTGATCATTTTGGCTTGTATGCATTAAAGTATGTTTGATTTCTTTCTAGATGGGAACATTTGATTTACCAGTTTGGAGGCCATCATGAATTAATTGAATATGTTGTAGCTAAAGGAAAAGTCATCTATAAAAAATGAAAGATCTGAAAGGAAAGAGAAGACCTTTCGACTATATAAGTCAATGCAGTTGCAGTAAAAGTTAAAATACCATAGTAATTTACCAGAGTGATGTCACTTAAATATATTTCAGTGCTTTGTTAATCCACTTGAAAAAAACCAAGTCATTAATTTCTTTTAATTTAACATGTGCACCTGGACATATAAGCAGGTAAATCAATTGGATCATAATCTCAGAACATTAAATCATTTCACAGAGATTTATTACAAATATTTTGAAGATTAATATGGTAGAGTATCATCAGAATGCCTTCGTGGGGAAAAGCAATTGGCAGTTAGGTAGACATGGCTTGAAATTCCCATTTTGTTTGTGCTTTTCAAGTTTCAGTTTTTAAACTATAGGATGGTGAGAAATCCAAGTGATATGCCCCCAAATTAAGCAAATGTAGCCTTCTATTATAAGCAGCTAGGTTGTCCTTTTCCCCACATAGTTTGCCTTTCTAGAAGCTCTTCAAATGCATGAGTGTCCCCTGAGGGAGGGTGTCCTATTTCTAATTTCTTCTTGACTCTAAGAGTAGCGCTTCACAGCAGAGTTCAAGACTCGTCATTTTATACATGGGGACGGGGGCCTTCCTAGAATGGATGCATTTGGACCAAATCTGATAATGTAATTTTTTAAAAATCATTTTTAAGAGTTTGATTATTCACATTACAAATGTATAACAAAATTTTTATAGCTCTCAATAAATATGTGTTGTCACTATTATTGTTGTTTCCAGGCCCGGAAGTAGATTGGTGGTATTACCTATTACAGCTTTTTAGGAAATGAACAAATTACATAATTACACATAAAGAAATTGTGGATGACGATATAAATAGGTGTTTCTAAAGCCATAGAAATGTTTTTCAATGTTTAATCATCCTTATAATCACAATGGTATTATTCAACTTTGTCCTGTTTATGAATAAATGATTTGAGAAGTAAAGATTAACCAAATTATCACCCATTTCATGTTAAAAATGGCTGAATCAATGAGGCTTTACTGTATTCCATTTAAATCAAATCAAATTCTCCTTGTTGAGAGGTTATGGGTAACAGTGCACGTTGCTGTCACTGTCTAGTAACATGGGGTCATCAGAGCTTTGTCCCTCATATGCTTGGTTAAGGAGTCTTGAGGGGGGTGTGGGAGGTGCATGGGTGCTGTGGGTGATGCCGCCCCTATGACCAAGCACCTACTCAATTGTAGGAGTTTGGGATGCAGGCGATAGATATAAAGGCCTAAACTAAATACGAGGTCCGTTCAAACACAGAAGTCTATCTTTATACCTATGGAATAAGAAGGTGAAATGCATCCTATTCTCCCTCTGGGAGACATTCACTTTAAACAAATAGCATTAATGTCTTTTTCAAATGAAAGGAGAAGATACCCACCCAGAACTGCCTTAGTCCTCCCAGGCCAGTGTCCTGTAAGCCCTTGCAACTTGCGAGCTTGCTAGAAATGAGAACCTTGGCCCCACCCCAGACCTGCTGAATCAGAATCTGTGTCTTAACCAGTGGCCAGGTTATTTGTACACCTGTTAAAGTCTGAGAAGTGCTGGAATCTGCGGTCTAGACCCTAGCCACACTGGCTTTCACACTGTGCCTCAAAACACTGTTTGCTTTTGCTGTTCCAGGCTTTGCAGCACTGTTCCCTCTACCTGGACTGCTTTCCCGCTCTTCTCTATGTGGGAAATCAGAGTTAGTCCCTCCCCTACCGTGTGCCCACCCTTCATGGCACTGTGGCTTAACTCTCTTTCCCTTTAGAATGTAAGTTAGTCGAGGGCAGGGCCCTCCTCATGTCCCAGGATCTAATGTGGTGACTGGTTCATAGCAGGTGATCAGTAAATGAATTCATGAATGCACAAACATACTGGTAGTCACAGTGAAAATTACTTAATTAAAACACACTAAGTAGGCCAACCCAGGAAGGCAGTGTTAAGGAAAACACTTGTTTTGTGGATTGAAAAGAGCATATGAATTCCTTAATATAATGCCAAAGGATGATGCTCATGGGGGAGTACATTGGAAAAGTAAAACCAAAGAAACAGTTCCATGGTTGAGTGGAGAGGTGGGCTGCCTTCTTAGCTTTGGGGGTTGGAAGGATTTTGATGACAGAGAAAGGCTCCAGGATGAAACAATATGAAGTGTTCAGTAGATCATCGATGAACCCTAGTCCTAGCTCCTTGGGGAGCTAGGGCTGGGTCAGATTTCACAGGGCTTTGAATTTCAGCCTCACTAGTAGGAACCTCATTCTTCAAGTCAGGAAAAGCCACTGAAAATTTCTGAACAAGTTAGGACCAGGACAAGAGTATTGTAGAAAAAATTAATCTGGTTTTAGTGTACACAGTAGGCACTCAAACATGTGTTGTATGAGTGGACTCTGGCAAGATACCTCGAACCACTCCTTTGGTGGAGAGAGTAGGAGGTATCGGGTGCTAGAAGTCCAGGAGGAAAAATCTCACAATGGGCAGTAAGTGAGATGTGAAGACCCTTACTGTGTGCTCCCCATTGGGCTAGATCAGTGTTTCTTTTCTCAACCTTTTTAGGTTATCTGGCCACACCCCCTACCCCCCTACCGGGAGAAAACTTAATTTCTCCCTAAGGAATAAGATTTTATCAGATAGGGTTGAACTTTGGAAAAAGACCACACACCATCATAATATGCAAGTTTTTCTGCATCCCAAGAATCAATTTTTGCCTCACTGTGCGCAATATCACCCCCACTGACTTGAGGGTGCACGCGCCAGATGCCATGGGAGAAAGGTGAGGCAATGTGGCATCCTGGAAGAAACACACATCTGGGGCTTGACATCTGGCCTTTGATTTCTTCTTTTTTTTTTTTTTAAAGATTTTATTTATTTATTTCAGAGAGAGAAAACAGAGGGAGAGGGAGAAGCAGAATCCCTGCTGAGCAGAGAGCCCAACAGGACTCGATCCCGGGACTCCAGGATCATGACCTGAGCCGAAGGCAGTCGCTTAACCACCTGAGCCACCAAGGCACCCTGATTTCTTCTTGAACTCTTTATCTGTAGAGGTTGGATTCCCTCCATCTCTGAAATTCTGGTGCTAGACTGGGTTCTGCCTTCGGGGAATTTACAATCCAATTAGGGCGGTAAGACTGACTTTCAAAAGTAGAGTCAAAGCCAGGGCGTATTAAAAGCGGGTTCTCCTAAAAGGAACTCTGGTGAAACACAGTACTTTTAAAATTTAAATTGTTTTTGCCAGATCTCCCCCCAAGCATGAGCATCTTGGTCTTTATTATAGTAAACAGTTAAAGGATAAAGTCAATGCCAGCCCCTTAGATTTTTATCCAGTGGAAAGTTATTCCAAAATATGAAGGTACATCTTTTCCAAGTGGTTCTATTACAGCAGCTGCAGGCATCAGGAACCTGGCGCCCAGAGTGCAGAAACCACCAATAAGCCACGGCAACCCGTCCTGGCTCACCCACCCTCGAGATCTGAGGTGTGCTGTGCTGGTAGAGCTTTGTTTCCCCTACTGTACCATTAGCATGAATTCTCATGCTCTTGCTGATGATCTGGCCTCTACTTACCTCCCAATCTTCCCATCTTCCTCCTTGCACATTGCCATTGTTTGTTTAATCCTCTGGCCCTACTCCCTACCTAAGCTATAAGCTGTGAGGGCAAAGACCAGGGCCATCTTGGTCACCATTTATTTAATTAGATAGAAATGGACAAATAGAGAATTGGTTTCCTGGCACAGATGTCTTCTGATATTGACGTTTAGCTTACATTTCTCCTTTTTCCTCCCTTCTCTCTCTGACTGCCAACACTCAAAACCCAGCTCAGTCACCTCTTCCAGGAAGCCTCCCTGATGATCCAAAGGTGCTGTGGTTATATGGTGCTTTCCTCTAGGACACACGCTTGGCACAGTAATGGCCATTTCACGTTCCCAACTAGATGAAGTCTTTGAATACAGGACTACATGGGATATTGATGTACCAGTACAGCACCTCAGAAACAGCTGAGGTAGGGAAGATGCCAACAGTTACAGATTTCAAAATCTGACTAAAATCGGCTTGTAGAAATAAGGAAGTATATTAGCTCACCCTTGGAAATTCACCAGGAGGACAGGCTTCAGGACGGGTTTTTCCAGTAGCTCAATAATGCTGAAGACTCAGATTCCTTCCTTCCCTCTGCTTTGTCATCCAGTGTTGGCATCCCCCAAGGCCAGATTCCCCAGTGGGTTGGGCTGACTGTCAACAGCCCTAGGTGCTCTATACCTCCTCCTCATTCACCTCAAATAGGTGGATGAGAAAGCCTGGCTACTGTGGCTCTCAGGAGAAAAAACATTTTCTCAAAGCCTCCAGTAAAAGTCGTCTCTGTCTCATTGGCACTAATCACTAAGCAAAGGGAATGAGACACCTTGTGACTAACCAGGCCTATGCTGCAGGCTGAAACACATTTCTTGGCTTTGATTTTTGGTGTATTTCTAATGTTTACATTTAATAAATTAATACCTTTAACCAAATAACCCCCAAAAGGCAAAATGACCATGCTATTCATGAGATAATGAGAAGGTTTAATAAAACGATAATAATCCAGTGACCAGATAAAAAGATAAGACTCAAGTTTAAAGTAGTAATGAAAAGTGTCTTGAATTTTTCAGGTTCTATGTTTGATTTTATGTACATGGTAGATTGTTATAGTAACGGACCACAAATCACATGCCAATGCCATTGAGTATTACTCTCCCAGACTGGCTTGGACTGGAAAGGGTGACTTGCTTTGGCCAACAGGACATTAGCAAGTGTGGCATTGTAGAAGTATATCAGGCCTAATGCTTTGGGACTCACCCTCTGGCTGCCCTGAGACAGCAGTGGAAGAAGCCCGGGTGAGCCTGCTGGGAGGAAATCGAGATGCCTCTAATCCTTGCTGCTACTCCACGGGAAGGAGAAAGGAATCAACCACACTTTCTAAAGACATGCGGCGATGTGCTAATATTCATTGACTAAACCTTTCAGAAACCTGATTAACTGCAGCTAGAATAGCCTTTCCCTGAAGAGGCGCTCAACTTTGTTATAAAAATCTAAGACCAGTGTGACGACGTAAGACAACAGAGACGTGGTTTATTCCACATTTACCTTGACATTCTCTTGGAGGCATGTGATAATCCGTTTGTCAGAGAGCTGTCTCGGAGACTCGATCAGAAATTGTCCGGAATACCGTAGAGGCCCGTGGGGATCCAGCCCTCCCCTGACTGCTGTGAAGAGCCGCCACCAGACCGCTGGGTTTACTGGCTCGACTGGGCTTCGTGGCTAAGCACGAAGAAACCTCCTTCGTGCCTGTTGACATTTTAGCAAAGGACAGCGCCCCAGAAGGGCCTTTCAGTAAACAGGCTCCTCAGCCCATTTTCGGTCACTGAATTGCTGTAGGCAGTGGTTTTCACTTCGGTCTCCACTTTTCCTGGGGACGGGGTGCCAGCTAAGGAGTGAAACCCTATTGTGAAATATACCATTGGATCCATTTTAGGCTGGAAGCGGGTCAGCAAGCTGGCAAGTGTGTCTGTTCTTTCCTCGGGCTACTGTAGTGTTAGAGCCGTGGTCCCAGGCTCCCGCCCTTGGAATGCCTTGCACGCACTTGCACACGTAGGTGCGACGTCACAGTTAGCCTTGGGAAGCCAAGAGCTCATCCGACCCATCTTTCATCCAGATGATCCCAAACGGTCCGTTGCCTTCTTTTTTGAGGAAAAAACAGATTGGGTAACACATCCCAGGGCCCCATCGGCCTTTGTCAATAGTTCCTCCTTTTAAGGATTACCATTACAGAGAAGGGGTTGGTTACCTTTGAACATAAGATTCCTTATTTGTGGGACAGGAGGCTTCTTAATGCAGGGTTGTTGTAGGACTGTGAATAAAGTACTAACACATAGTAAGAAGGTAATAATAACTAACCTCTAACTCCAGCTTAAGCATCTGAGATTTTTTCTTCTTGCGATGTATAGTGATATTTGATAAATATCACTGAGGGCCACTCCAATAGCAATCCTTTACACAAAACCTCGTTGGACCTACTGACTAGACTATGATGCAATTAATAGAAGAAAGAGAAGCTTCAGGACAAATGGACTTCAGAAGAAGTTGTTGATCAAGGCCTCGTAAGGAACATTCATCATATCGTGGTATAATTCAAATAGCCCAAGTTATCTAGTGGAGAGCTTTTCAAACCATAAAAAAAAAAAGTTTCATAAAAGTCTAATGTTTTTGGAAAAGAATATCATCAATCTGTTTCAAAATCTGAGTTCAAATAATGTTAAATGACCTGTGGCCTGTTGATACTGTTAAGGAAGAGAGAAAACTCCTATAATCTGAAAACAGCTTCTGTGTTTCAAACCAGGTCAACAAGAACACAGTGCTAGAGTGAGCAACTTCAATGATGTCACCAGCCTAAGCAAAGGAGGTTTTAGCAGAACTGAACAATATAATGGATTGATCTACTTAGGAAAGTCCTCAGGCCTCTTCAGCATAATATTGCTTGCTGTTCAACCAAGGACCCTCTGATCTACTAATCTATGACAAAGCCCATTAAAGATCCCCGGACTCTGGAATTCTGATGGATTTCTTATGTAGAAATTCCAGTGAAAAGGCTGTTGGAGAAACAGGTCTGGATTCTGGAATATGTTCCATTCTGTATTTTTCAATATATGGTGCAGCGACCTCCCAAACCTGAGAAGGATAAAACAGAGTCAGAATGTTGATGACATTGTTCTCACATGCCAGTAAACATCAGCTTCATCCGATCAAAACGTCTAGACCTGAGTAGGAACGTAGCAGCTGTTTGCTTGCTTTCATTATGAGCCACTTGACACACGATCTGTGTCAATTAGTCTTTGGTTGCATTAACAGCTTTCAAAATACAAAGTCCAAAGCCTTTCTAAAGTTTTCAGCTACTTACTCTTCAGAAGCAAAACAAGCCAACACACAAACGAAACCTGGACAATTCAGTGTGGACGGAATTAAGGAAAGTTGCTCAGAGGTATGAATGTGCGTTTTCGAAAACAAGCTTTGAATAGGCAATGGATTTCCTCGTTTGCTGGGTCTCCATGTCACATGTGCTCTACTCCTTACACTCTTTTTAAATTTTTTTTATTTTATTTACTTATTTCTGCGAGAGAGAGAGAGAGAGAGACAGAGACAGAGAGAGAGAGAGAGAGCACATGCACGAGCTGGGGGAGGGACAGAGGAAGAAGCAGATTCCCTGCTGAGCAGGGAGCCTGATGCAGGACTTGATCCCAGGACCCCGGGATCATGACCTGAGCCGAAGGCAGACGCTTAACTGGCTGAGCCACCCAGGTGCTCTATTTCCTTACACTCTTACTGCTCCCGGTGTGACCTGTGGGCCAGCAGCATCGGCCTCCCCTGGAACCAGACCCCCAGGAGATTCATATGCACAAGACGGTGTGAGAAGCAGCGCTTCAGGCCCTTGTTTGCTCGGTAGCTCCACCCACCAGCCTATTCTCTTTCAGGCATCCAGTCTTCTCAGGTTCAGTTCCTGGTTTTGATTGACAGCTGCTTTTTATCAGCTTGCTGCTAACAACCAAGGAGCATTTCCTATCCTTTGTATTACCTTAGAAAGTGTATCCTTGCAAAGGCTAACTTCCTCGAAAAGATCCCTGCGCCTCCACGGTCGTTGCTGCTTTATTTACAAACAGCCAGAAACGAAAGCCCCCTGAGGGTCCACTGACGGATGTAGAGCCGCGCTCCAGCAGGTCTTAAGCATTAACCTGAGTCGAGGTAGCACACTTCTTGCTTGCTGACCTAAGGCCCTTGATGGGTAACAGTATTAACTGGCTTTCTTTGAGATTTGCAGACCTCCGGCCTTGGGGAACGAAGGACCAGAACTTTCCCAGGCCCCAGAGGCCAGCTAGTCTGTTGGAAGCCGCCTTGGCTTTCTGATTAGCCCAGCAATCTTTATCAAAATGTTTTTCTTTTTTAAGGTCACACACATAAATGAGTTTCCTTTCCCTTTGTACATCTGTAGCTCTGGCCCTCCTTTGCAGAAAGAACAGAACACTCTTGCGTCACCTCTGGGTACCAAGGAACCAGACCTCCTTGCTCAACTGACCTCCACCCCTGGGCACCAAAAAACTAGAACTTCTTGCACAACCGCCAACCACCAAGATAACCCGGCAGCTGACATCACCAAGTCTGCACATCGGCAAGAAATGTCGCAGACCGATGTACTCCCTTAGCTAAAGATTAAGCCCTTTAAATATCTCTGCGCCCGGCAGAAACCAGGAGTGGGCTTTGGGACAAGAGTCCACCTTCTCCCCAGGGGACCGGCCTCCTGAATAGAGCTCCTATTCCTTTCCCACCAAAACTCATCTCTTGAATATTGGTCTTTCAAGGGATTGGCAGCCGAATTTGGGTTTCAGTAACAGATGAACGGATCAAGACAATGTGTGTATTATTCAATCATAAAGAAGAAGGAACTCTTGGCATTTGTGACAACCTGAATGCTGTGAGGGCAGTATGCTAAGTGAGATGAGTCAGAGAATGACAGAGACTGTGTGATCTGTATGGTATGTGGAACCTAAATAGCAGCAGCAGCAACAACAAATGGAACTCCGAGAACAGACTGACAGTTGCCAGAGGTGGGGGGCAGAGGGTGAGCGATACGGGTACACGGCGTTAAAAGGTACAAACCTCCAGTTTTAAAATAAACAAGTCCTGGGGATAGAATATGCAACAGGGGGACTAGAGTTAATAAGACTGTATTGTATATTTGAAAGTTACTAAAAGAGTAGATCTTAAAAGTTCTCGTCACAAGAAGAAAGAAATTCTAACTATGTACAGATGTTAACTAGGCAGTGTGGTGATCGTTTTGCAAAATACACAGGTATCAAATCATTCTGTTGTACTGAAACAAATAGAATGTTATATGTCAGGTATATTTTAATTAATAAAAAAGGCTAACCCCTCACACACCTCTCTACCAGCACCAAAGTTGGCAGCACATGAGGGGCTTCCCCTCAAAGGGTGTAGGGCACAACTTAGGAATGACAGATGTGAAGATCAAAGGGAAAAATCGTTCCCGAAGAGCAGAGCAATGGTCCCAAGGGAAATCAAGAAATTCTAGAGAACATGATACCCACAAATTACAACAAAAGGTCAAAGAACTTTAAAAAATGTATTTAAAAAATGAGTCAGCCTATGAGGCATCTGACTCTGTTGGATAAATCTATAGTCAATGAAGCCAGAGGAAATAAGCAGTAAAGAGAACCCCTATCTCACCCAGGGTGATGGGGTAGGACACACCACAGCGCTAGAAAGACCCACAGACCTCTGAAGTAAAACCCTGGGGCTTTGTTTTGTCTTCAGGTCTGTCTAGTCATTGGGCCAGTTGGAGGCGGTGGTGATAGCATCACGGAAAGAGAACATGCTTTTGAACGAAAGAGAATATTCTTGGTGAAGGGGATCCATTAACCTTTCATCACATTTTCTCCCCCATGAATACCTGTCCCACACTCCATTTAAAGTCATTTCAGTTTCTAATCGCTAGATAGTCAATGTTTGGATGCAACATGGGACACTTAAGAGTTTATCAAATAGCGTTTTAGTTGCCTTGGAAGTTGCTTAAGTTCCTTTTTGTTCACGTCCAAGGAATAGACAGGAAAACGAGAGTAAGACAATATTTCTTCAGTCCCCACTCCCACTTGGCTTTCCCATAATGGCCCAAAACTAAGAAGTAAGCCAAGTGGCCAACTTACCTTCTGCTCTACAAGCAGCCTGTGAGCAGCCTCAATGTCTGGAGCCATGAAGCGATCTTTTATCCAGGGCCTACCGAGAAAGCACATCAAACTATCAGCCAAACATGAACTGCTGCCAGGGTTCACAGTTCTGAAATGATGTCACATCCAGGGCTGTTGGACTTTACCTTACAACAGAGCGCACCAGGTCATACACCTTCTCCAGAGGAGTGGTTGTTCTCAGGGGGCGTAGAAACTCTATGCCCTGGCAGGCTGCAAGAAGCTCGATGGCCAGCACTACAAGAAAGGTGGAGGGTACAGCTGTTTGAAGCTGACTTCATGCTGGGGGGATGTCACTCACATGAAAGTTGACAGCCAACTCTAGCCAACTCAGAGGTGGTCGGTTCTCTGTCTATTGGTAAAATGAAGCTGCCTTGGTATTTGGTTACCATTTAAAATTTGCTTTTCTACCCCCTTGGCTGTATCTTAAATGTTGAGAAGGGCAGTGCTACCCAGGTAAATGTCTTAGTTCTTTCCTTCTTCCTTCGTTTGATCAAGATGGATGGCATCTGTGTCCTACTTCTACCTTTGTGTAAATGTCCATTTGTTTTTAGTCTTGCTGTTTCCCTTTGGCCTGAAATACCTGGCACATAGACTTTCATCAAAGGACTGAAGGAGTCAGTGAATGAGCAAATCTTCTGTTGAGCTGGATAATTCTATAATGTTCCTTTTAAGCCTTCAAACTCAGAGGCTCCCAAGCCCACTAAAACTGAAATTGTAGAAATGGGTATCTTGCCAACTTTAGGTTTCTTGACAAAACAGTCTTTACCATGTTTTTTTTTTTCCTAGTTAAGAACTCTTATTAAATGTACCATACCTTGCTATCAACTTTGAATACTGAAATCTAAATTTCTGTACATTTGGATTCCGTTATTTGCCAAGAAAATAATTTAGAAGCTTCAAGTTGATCAAACCATTCACATGGTCAACTGAAACGGAGTATTAAAAACATCTGACTTCTTAAAATTTATGAAGCACACTCCAAACTCTGGTGAGTACAGACAGGTCACCATGGGAGGGGATGAAGTAATGGAATCCATTTTGGACCTGGAAGAAACTTCCCATCTTCTAGTGCGGTCCCCTCACTTTATGCATAAGGAATTGGAAACTTCAAGAAGTTGAGCTGGGGTGGACTGGGAAGACATCTGAGATGAAATCTGCACAGCTACCAAGGTGGAGTGAAAAAGTGAACTGCGTGAAGGCCTAGGGGAACACTGTTGCAGGCAGAGGGGCCAGCAAGGACACAGGGGCTGAGGTAGGGATGTGTCCTTGGCGGGTACAAGAATAACACCATGGTTCTAGTGTAGGGAATGGAATGGAGAGAGGTGTCAGTAAGAGCCAGAGGCCAGATCACGCATGATCCCTGTAGGCTACAGGAAGGGGGCTGGATTTTGTTTTGAGCAGAGGGAAGTAATTGGCATATTTTCAGCAGGAACATGATGTGGTCAAAATTACATTTTAAGAACCTCACCCTGGGGGCGCCTGGGTGGCTCAGTCGTTAAGCGTCTGCCTTCGGCTCAGGTCGTGATCCCAGGGTCCTGGGATTGAGCCCCACATTGGGCTCCCTGCTCGGCGGGAAGCCTGCTTCTCCCTCTCCCACTCCCCCTGCTTGTGTTCCCTCTCTCACTATGTCTCTCTGTGTCAAATAAATAAATAAAATCTTTAAAAAAAAAAAAGAACCTCACCCTGGTTATCATATGTGGTGACTGTAGAAGAACAGTAGTGAAAACAAGACCAGTCAAAAGGAGATGACGGAGCCTTGATTTGGTGTCTTTTGATGGTAAGGTTGATTTGCTGATGAATTGGATAGAAGATCTGAGAACTGACAAGGGTGACTCCTTAAGTTTTGGCCAGAGCAACATGTTCAATGGGGACATTAGGAACACAGCATGGTAGGCAGATAATAATAACAAGCGTTGGTGAGGATGTGGAAAAATCAGAACTCGCAAACACTGCTGATAAGAATGTAACATGGTAGAGCCACTTTGGAAAACAGTCTGGCAGTTCCTCAAAAAGATGAACATAAGTTACCATATGACCCAGCAATTCCACTTTAGAGAAATGAAAATATACATCTGCACAAAAACTTGTACACAAATGTCCATAGCAGCAGTGTTCTTATTAGCCAAAAAGTGGACAAAACCCGAACATTCCTCGCCTGATGAATGGATAAACAAAATATGGTATAGCCATACAACGGAATATTATTTGGCCATAAAAAAGGAATGAAATGCTGACACATGCTACAACATGGATGAACCTTGAACACATTATGCTGACTGGAAGAAGCCAGTTACAAAAGACCATATATTGTATGACATTTATATGAAATGTCCAGAATAGGCAAATCCACAGAGAGGGAAAGTACATCCATGGGTGCCTAAGCCTGGGGGCAGGGTGGGGTAGGGAGAATGGGAGAATGATAGGTCAAGGGTCTAAGGTTTTTTGGGGGGATAAAAATGTTCTAAAATTGATTTGTGGTAGTGATTGCACAACTCTGTGAATATACTAGTAACAACTGAAGTGTACAATTTAAATGGGTGATTGGGTGGTATGTAAATTATATCTCAATAATAAGAGCACTTAATTCTCCCACATGTATCTTAAAATACCTTAGTCCTTGCTTATCTGCTGTTTCACCTTCTGCTGTTTTGGTTGCTCACAATCAACCACGGTCTGGCAGCAGGTGAGCCTTCTGATGATTCATCATTTTCCTCTTTCGGACAATCATCAGAAAGTCAAGAGTAGCCTAAAGTTACCTCACAACACCTGCATCATTCTCCTCACTTCATCTTACCCCATAAGCATTCTGTCATCCCACATCGTCACAAGAAGGGTGAGTAAAGTACAGTAAGGTATTTTGAGAGAGTTCACATTCACCTAACATATTTCCATATATTGTTATAATTGTTCTATTTGATTAGTTATTCTTGTTAATCTCTTACTGTGCCTGATTTATAAACTTTATCATAGTATGTATGTATAGGAAAAAACATGGTCTACAAAGGGCTTGGTACTACCCGTGGTATCAGGCATCCACGGGGTGGGGGGACGTCTTGGAACATCCTCCCAGCCTCCATAAGGGGGGGCATTACTGTAGTGATATTCTTTTGTCATCCAACAGCTTCTGATACAGTTGCAAAAAGTTGGTAGCTTAGATAACAATGCCTAAAGGAAGGCAATTCATCTTCAAAAAAAGCAAACAAGCAGTAATTAAGAAGGCAGGGAGAGGTTGGCCTAATACAGCTCCACCCTAGAAACTATCTACCGAAAGATATGGATCTGAATCTTGTTAAGTCTTCCACCACATCCAGGAAATGCAGGGGACAGAGATAACAGGCAGAGAACAAGTTAAAAGTAACACCACAAGGAGGTTAAAAGGTAAATCCAGAATGTCAGTCCCTAACAGAAGACTGACCTGTCTTTTTCACTAGTTAATAGCATGAAGGAAAAAAAGGGAGAGGGAACTGTTCTAGATGAAAAGAAGCTTGAAACTTTGACCACCAAATTTAAAATGTGAGCCTTGAATCCAGATTTGAACAAATCCACTATGCAGGCATTGAGATAATTGGGAAATTTTTAATATGTATTCAACGGTGATGCCAAGACTTACTGTTGATTTTTGTTTGATATGATAATGGCATCATGGTGGATAAAAAAAGCATTCATATTTAAGGGAAGAAAATAATGTCATGGGATTTGCGTGAAAATAAGAAAAGTCAAGGAAAAAATGAAGCAAATGTGCTGTTGAGTCAGGGTACAGGAGGGTTCATGGTACTAATCTCTCCACTTTTGAGTATGTTTTCAATTGTTTAAAAAATTAAACCAACCAGTGAACCTGCTTAGACAGCCGGTGTGGTTCTTAATTTTCAGCGAGCTTCAGAATCACCTGGAAGACTTGTTAAACCCAGATGGTTCTGCTCTCTTCTCTAGAGTTTCTGATTTAGCAGGTCTGGGGCCGGGCCTAAGAATCTGCCCTTCTAACAAGTTCCCAGGTGATGCCGATGCTGCCAGTAGGGATCCTCCGGTAGGGATCCTATGTTGAGGATCGCAGATGTAGTCGTTTATCAGTGAGGCTCGCCGTCCCAGACTGGCTGGGTTTACCTTGTTCCACGTGCTCGATGACCCGAAGGGCCTTCCTTGCTGCCCATCCTCCCATGGAGACGTGGTCTTCCGTGGCAGCGCTGGTGGAGAGAGAGTCCACAGACGAGGGGTGGCACAGAGCCTTGTTTTCAGAAACTGCAAGAGGCCAGTGCAAGGTAAGTATGCTGCTAATAGGAAAAATTGCCACGTTGGCTTCCCAATGTGCTCGACAGCATGGAGTTTCCTCTCCAGGAGCTCTTGGTTGTCATCGAAGCACCGGATGGTCCAAAATTATTTGGGGAAAAGGAAACAGGTTGGGTATATATCAAATTGAAAAGGAGGGAATAGTGAGTTCTGAGGTAAGACCAGATAGGAACCCTATTACAAAGCCTAGTTGAAAACACTGGAAGCGTTTAGCATGCTGGGGAGAATAGGGAAAAAAAGAAGTGATGGGCTTTTCCAAGTACTCGAGAACAATGGACTGACTGTGTCACCAGAGGAGGCATTAGAATTCAGGGTGGTTATTTGGGGATGGAGACCAGGCCCACAGGTCTTGACCAAGGAGATTTCACAGCTCAGACTGTCCAGGGATGACAGAGGGCTCCATGACTGCCAGACATATCTTGGGGAGGTGGGGGAAATTCTAGAGATGGCCTAGATCAAACTTCATTGTGCATATGACTCACCCCATCTTGTCAGTATGCAAATGTCAAGTTTCGAGTGGGGCCCAAGATTCTGCTGTTCTAACAAACTCTCAGTGGATGGCCGGATTCTTGGCTCGAGGACAACACATTAAGTATGGAGGACCTAGATTCCAGAGCTCCTCCCCGGCTCCAGAAGCCATGGAGAGAGTTTTCTCCCCTACATTTTTGCTCCCGAGAGTGGCTGGGTGAGGCTTCAGTTGTTCTCTATGCTATAAAGGATCCTGAGATAATCTAGCGATGTAGACCAGGTGGTGGGCTCGTCCTGGTCCTCCCAGAACTTTCCAGGTTTCAAGCACTGTAAGTTCCAGGTCCTGGGACCCTAAACCTGCTTATATGGATACGCAGTCTGTGGTTCGTTCAGAAAGGGAAGTTACATGTCCCCGAAAAAGAAAACTACCCATTTCATTATAATGAAAGCAAGTTGAACAACTTCAATAGGCAGTTTAGGGAAAGCCAAACACATTCAAGTGAAGCTTTCCGAAGTCCCTAATGTTTTCTAGATCAGTTACCACTACCTCCCTATGTTAGTGTGAGAAGTCGCTACCCTTTAAAGGAGTATTTTAATAAGGAGGTAAGTGAGCAATTAAAAGTTACTGGGAGGAGGCCACAATGAATTCAGGGACTCCTTTGGGTTGTGTTGAGCTTTCATGTGAGGCTTCGGTGAGGAAGGGGTTGGGAGTAATATTAATAGCAACTAATATTTATTTAGTGCTTACAACATGGCCAGGCACAGTTCTAAGGCTTTATATGCATTAATTCATTTAATCCTCAAATCAGTCCTATTAGGTAAATTTATCACCCCCATTTAACAGAGGAGTAAACTGAGAGTAAAAGGGTTAAGAAACTTGCTCCATATCACACTCCTGATAAATGGCAGAGTTGGAATTTGGACCTAGAGTCTATGCTCTTAATTAAGCACATGCTCTCCTGCCTCTTGGGTAGGTTTGCCTAAAAAAATACAGAATGCTCAGTTAACTTTGAATTTCAGATAAAAACAATTTTTTAGTACTAAGTACGTCCCGAATAATTCAAATTTAATTAGGCATCCTGCGTTTCTATTTGTTAAATTTGGCAACCATATTTTAGGATTAAGTATGGATTAAAATGAGATCCATGTTAATTGAAGTGAGAGCACGGATTTGAGAACCAAAATGCCTGCGTTTGAATTCAATTCTACTTACTAGTTGTCCAGTGTTGGGTAAGTCACTTAACTTCTCAGATCATCGGTGCAATGGAGGTAATAATAGTACACGCCTCGTGGTATTGTTGTGACCATTAAGTGAGCAAAATAAATGAAGCTCTTAGCACGTCTTTTGTACCGGACCCTGTTGTGTTACTCACAGTTTTGAGTCAGAAATCAGCTACACTGAAGCTCAGTTTTCATGGAGGGCATCTTCTTATAAGCATTTTTGCACATTGTAATCACATATTTATGTTCTTAGTGGTTGGTATACCTAATAGAATGTACCCAAAGCTTAATCATTCAGGTCAGTTCAAGTTTTGCCAATAATTGTAGATATCTTTGTCTTTTTCCTTCTGATAGTCTTCAGATTGAGATTAGGGAAAAAGCTACAAAGATGAAGTTCCTATTTGATATCAAATTGCTTCCTACAGAGAAATTGTGGAAACCTCATCATTTACAAACTTATTAGGGTATTATTATGTTTCAGTCTAGCTTTGTTTCGGTTTTATTTAGTTTTTTTCTAAAGAGACTTCTCTTCTGCATTTGTATCGAGACCGGCAGGATGCAAATGAGGTAGGCAAAAAGATCTCATTCAAGCACAAAATGTGACTTTCAGATGAAATGGGCCGGCTTGTGTTCTGGGGAACGGGCAGTATTCTTGGGCGGTATTCTTACCAAGCGCTGCAGCGGTGCAATGTGCAATCATAAACCCAGAGTTCAGACCACCTTCAGCCACCAGGAAGGGAGGCAGCTCACTGAGAGAGGGGTTACAGAGCCTTTCAATTCTTCTTTCACTAATTGAAGCAAGTTCATGGACTCCAATGGCCAAATAGTCTAGGGCCTAGAAAGAGTATCTCAATTCAGTTGGCTTAAATTGGAATATGCTTTCAGGGTCAGGAACAATTCTAAAAAGCTTACTTTGGCTGGGTATTCACCATGGAAGTTTCCTCCAGAAATAGTCTCTCCCCTGCTGGCAAAAACCATCTTGCAAAACAGGTTAAGGCTAATTTTTAACACTTGTAGCCCTTGTACAAATACGGGAGGAGGGAAGGAGAGTCTACACGTTGTTGACATAAAGGGACACAAAAACAAAAACAACAAAACAAATACCCAAAACCTTAAAGATGAATCATGTACACCTAATTGGGGGCCAAGGAAACATGGAACATGAAATTTTTTTTTCTGAAATTAGAGATTCTCAAACACCATAACTATCATAGTCTAGTGGTTAGTACTTTCCCTCAAAAAGTTTGTATCTGAAACTAAGAACAGAGACCAGAACACCAGTTCTACTTCTTCAGGGGGCAATGTGAGCTTGTGCTTGGTAGAAGAATTTGCTGAGTGGAAGACTCTGCTGATGAGCAACCACCAAATGGTCTAGAACCATCAACTCTGGGAAGATTTTCAAGCTCTCTACTCAGTGATCCTGCAGCAGCATCCATAGCAAATGGCGGCCAATAGGCTGTTGCAAACCCATCTAAGTAGGAGGAACTTAGACTCACTGCATATTAATGCCCTCAAGGATCATTCCATTCTATCAGGCACTTCACTTAGAACAACAGGCACCCAGACAAAGGCAGTAACAGACCCTTCTTAAAGATTCCAGAGGGCTGATTTATACCTACTGGACTAAAGAATATTTATTATCTATCAGCTAGGAACTCACTCTGTGTGAGAAAGGTTCTGACTTCCAAAGAGCTGGAGATGCTCTTTGGAATGTAATGTATTACATTAACTTCATCAAATTGGGAGTTACCCTTTTCGGTACATATAACCATGAGCCTATTAGGCCCAGCGCTGGCTGGTCTCCACTAACCCACCCCCAGACACAGGCCCTGGTTTTCTCTCCATTCTCTGAATCCTTATAGCAAGTAACCTCTGCACCTACTTAGAACTTAAGCATGTTCAGTTCTCCAGTTGTTCCAAATTTGTTTGTTGGCTATCAGATTATGGTAATTAGAATTTAGCTTCCATAACATTTAGCAACTGTGTGATAGGTACTTTATATCTACAATAGAAAAATTGAGAAGAATATTCTTTCAACTAACACCAGTATTGCAGGAGAACTCCCAAATATTACCTTATTGGAAATTATCAATAATTAATCTTTAATTGAGAAAGGAAAGTACTTTTGGCTGAAATTTTTGCTGGGGCAAGTGGTGGGAGAAGACTGTAGTGAGGAATTATCCTTTTCCCATATCCACTAATTTAATGGATTTTTACTTTATATATATACTCTTTGTTTTTACTATATAAGATACCCTTTCAAGTCTAAATTATGGGGGCACCTGGGTGGCTCAGTTGGTTAAGCATCTGCCTTCAGCTCAGGTCATGATCTCAGGGTCCTGGGATCAAGTCCTGTATCCCGCTCGCTGCTCAGTGGGGAGTCTGCTTCTCCCTCTCCCTCGGCCCCTCCCTCCTGCTCATGCTCTCTCACTCTCTCTCTCACGCTCTCACTCTCTCAAATAAAAAAAAAAGTCTAAATTATGTGAGTGTAGGATGGGTATCTCTCCTCTACAAGAACTGATGAGACAAGACTTACATAGACTTCATGAAAGTGCTACTCCATTGTGGGGGGGGAGGGGTGGAGTGGTGTTGGGGTGAGTGAGTTGAGAATTATTTAGTGTGGGTCTGACTTAACCGTAAAATAACCTGACACTGAGGACATAAAACATACATCCTGAAGTAAGCTTGTCAGAGAAACCACACTGGATAAATCTTACACAGCTGCTGTGAAACCTGTCTGCTAACCTCAGCTAGGAATGGCTTCCAGGGTTGTTAACTCAGCACTTTTTTTTTTTTTTAAAGATTTTATTTATGTATTTGACAGAGAGAGACACAGTGAGAGAGGGAACACAAGCAGGGGGAGTGGGAGAGGGAGAAGCAGGCTTCCCGCTGAGCAGGGAGCCCGATATGGGGCTCGATCCCAGGACCCTGGGATCATGACCCGAGCCGAAGGCAGACGCTTAATGACTAAGCCACCCAGGTGCCCCTACTCAGCACTTTCTCCAGTGTTAAGAACTGAGGCAGATGTGGGATAGGAAAAATATATTCCTACGGGCTTGGGTGGTCTTCAAAGGCAGTATTGAGTATCTCTGTGAAGACTTTGCCAGTGTGACTTGTGACTGATCACACTGACATCTATAGGGAACTGTACCATCAAAGAACATTCCAAAGCAGAAATAAGATGGCTCTGCGATACCCACACCATGAAGGAAAGAAGGGCTCCATCTTTGAGAATTGGAAGCATTCTTACTATTCTTTGTAAAATTTGGAAACACTGATTGAAACACCATGTCAAAAATAAAAACTTGAGATGAGGAAAGCCATTTTAACTCTTTGAGCAATACTTCGGTAAGTGTTAACAAGTTGCCTTCTGTTTACTGTGTCACTAGAACCAAGAAGGCTTGCATCAATGCCAACCTGCCCAGGGTACCCACAATCACACTTGTGACCTATGTCTTCATCCTCTATCAGCAATCTCAGCAGCAAATGTCTTCATGAACCCTCTCTGCCAATGCTGGAAATATGTCCTTTAGCCTTTAATGGGTCCATTTGGAAAGCACAGCATGTTAGACTCTGAAGTGAAATTAGGTGCACAGACCTGCCTCTGTCACTTACCAGCTCTGATCTAGAGAAAGTCACTTAACCTCTGAACCTTAGGTACTTAGTCGATGAAATGGAGGGACAGAACAGAGATGCTACACAAGATGATCACTTCAGTAGATCTAAAATTACCAACTGGAATTCTACAAATACAGTTTAGTAAGAAGCAGTCAAAAGATACAGGATTATCGGTTGCACTATTAAGTTCTGTGGTAATGATGTTCTTCACAAACGCTATGGTGTCGTTCACCACACCATGGACCTACAATACAAGATTAAATGAGTGAGTACACTGAAAACACTGATAATGGTGTCTGTCACACAGAGTCTGATATTCATATTAGAATAGCAAGGAAGCAAGTTTTAAACCTGGGACTTAGTTGTGCTATAGGGCTAATTTAGCAATTCTTTCCCATAGATGTTTTCCATCAACCAGCTAGAATGGAACTTGCTGAGTCAAAGGAAATGAAGGCGTTTACTCTAGGGAGGATTCTTGATTACACTCTGGACTAGAATCTGGCACAAAATGAAATATTGTTTCATTCTTGAGAAGTACATTAATTTCTCATCCAACGAATTGCCACACACAAACGAGCTATATAACCTCTGCAATGCTGAATACCTCACGCCAACTCCGGTCTGCTGCATTTTTTTTTTTATCCGGAGTTAAGCCTCACAGATTTATTTGTGATGGTTTATGTCTGCTTATTAAATGCAGATATGGTACAACAATGATGTGCACTTGAATTATGGTTCGCCTTTCCTGTGACCATCTCTGTCAGGCTGGTTCTTGTGGAATCCAAAAGAGAGAACCAGTAAAATTCCACTAACTGATTAGGATGATCCGATTACTAAGAATTTTTTAAAAGCTACAGCAGTAAACCGACACAGCAAGTTGTCTCTTGTGCTTCTGTACACGAGAACTGAGCAAAGCAGTTCAAAAAGAAACAAACAGCTTAATATAGAGACTAGAAACTCTACAATGACAGGACAAATGGAAGTATGATATGCATAATTTTTAAAAGAGGCAGTAAAGACATTTGGATTGTAATTGACCATTACATGACTTTTTATTTTTTTATTTTTTATTATTTTTTTTACATGACTGTTTAACACTTTCCTCTTTTTCTATTTCCGCCCTGAATTGGAAAATAAAAAGATTTTTTTCATTTGTTTACCTGTGGACAGCAGCGCAAGGTGTATGCATCCTGAACACGATCACAGAACCTGTGACTTTCTGTGCAAGGGGATGGCAAGGGACACGTGATCAATTTTTCCACAAAACACAACACCAAATGAGCTCACTCACATAAACATGCCCAGACCTGCTATTTCAGATGGGTGGTGATCTGAGTCCAAGAGTGACCGAAACCGAAAAGCAACTTCAATTTGCCCACGGTGAGGGCGGACTGCGTGAATGTCTAGAATTGATGAAGGAGAAGAAGTCTGAACAATTCTCATATTAGAATGAACTACCATTGGGCGCCTGGGTGGCTCAGTTGGTTAAGCGACTGCCTTCGGCTCAGGTCATGATCCTGGAGTCCCGGGATCGAGTCCCGCATCGGGCTCCCTGCTCAGCAGGGAGTCTGCTTCTCCCTCTGACCCTCTTCCCTCTCGTGCTCTCTGTCTCTCATTCTCTCTCTCTCAAATAAATAAAATCTTTAAAAAAAAAAAAAGAATGAACTACCATTGATGGTTCAGGATTATCCATGTTGCTGACACAAGCCCTCAAAAGTCCCAGAGGTTCCTACCAGCACTCACAGTTAGAAACTTAACTCCAAAAGCAAGATTTTCCTCATCAACCGCATTTTTTCTACTTTAAATATCCAAGTGCAAACTATGTGTTGAGTCCACTGGGAATTCAACTCAAGACCCTGGGTCTACCCTAAAAAGATTTAGGCTCATAATGGAAGGGACCTCCACAGTGGCCAGTTTTTGACAGTTTTCAATCATTTTTAGACAGTTTTTCTGTCCTACATATAATGGTAGGGAGTCTTTCAAATTCACCACTTTCCAAGTAAGCTACAACTTCTATAGTTTTTCCCTCCCAATTTTCTAATGGGGACCAACTTTAATCCTACTCTAGGTCTAAAACCCTGTGAACAGATTCCTAAGACAGTTCACAGTTGGATGGGAGTCAGACCTGGGTGATCCAGAATTCTGGGTGAACTCTAGAGTCAGCATCCGTCCGTAAAATGTGGTCATTTCAAGATCAAATGTGGCATCACTTAGAGGAAGCTGTAGCCATATTGTGTATGCCATAGGCATTTGGGTATTTCCTTTTTCCCCTACCGTCCACCCCCGCCACTCTCATGTCTAAAGACCTGGACCAGTCCACCCAACCAGCTCTGGTTGACTGAATAGCAAGCCGGTGGAAGAGCCATGCTGACCAGTATCGAAGGCTTTGGTGGTGCCCTTCAGCACCTCAAGGGTCAAGGCCGCCACGATGTCTGCCTGGCGCGCAATAGCACTGGCTCGCTCCACGGCTTCACAGCCCAGGGAGGTGATCATCTGTGTCCCGTTGATGAGAGCCAGGCCCTTTGGAAAGGAAGAGATGAGTCCTTTGCTGTATTTATTGTAATCCATGTAAAAGCTGATTTCATATCTTTTGCTTCCATAAGAGAAGACTTAACCAATCAGCTGAATGACGTTTATTTATGTTTTCTAAAGTGCAGGGCAGGAATGCTTAGTAAGCATTGGAAGATTAAGTGCCATCCTGTGTGAAATGGTTAGTATAAACCTGGCGAGTGAAATACCTGTTACGTATCCCCATTCTCAAGGCAGCAACAAACCTCCAGTATAGACTGCATATAAAATCTTTAGCTCCTCATTATGCTGCTTTTCTTTAACTGGTCAACATTATGGACAAGACAGCTTAAGACATTTCTGGTCCAAGACCTGGTTGAGAGCGCCCTGAGGGATTTTAACCTACAGCATCTGTTAGGGATCCTTAGGGATCCCAATTTGAAGTTTAAGTTCTTAGGTAAGAGAACCCATAAGCCTCTGTGGCATGAAGAATCTTTTGAATGCTCGTGCAGCAGTCCTTTCTTCAGTGACAAACTTTTAACAAACATGAAAACCACATTTAAGAAACCAGCGAGACAGATATTAAGACTGAAAATAGTCTATAAATAAAGACTTGTAATAATGAGTAAATTTTCCTCGAATCTCTTTACCTCTTTCGGTTTCAAAACAACTGGTTTCAATCCATGAGCTTCCAGGACCTGCAGAATGATTAAAAAGATAAAAATGGGTACCCAGTGAAATACTAACCTATTTCTGATTTCATAAGGAATCGATAAAATATCCTTAAGCCTAAAGATTTGTCTCATAAAAGGTTGGACCTACGTGAATTGATTCTGTTCATCTACTCTGGTCTGTGCTCTAGTTCTGTTCTTTAGTCTGAAAGCAGACTTCTTTTCACATATTTTTTATACTTAAATCAGGGGCTTAGTGTCTACAGAAGTAACCCTGAATTTTGGTTTCTAGGTCCTTTGTATTCAGCTTCCACCTTAGTGACTCACTTTTTTCCTGCTGCTTCCTGAGCACATATAAGCACCTATACTGTGCTGAGGCTGAGTTCCTGACTGTCCTCAATTCTCTGCCTCCAGAGCTTGACCTAAAAAGTCCTCCACCCTCATCCTACTTATCTAAACACTGACAGAAATAAAAGAAGTGAAACAGTCACTATGCTAAAAACCCTCTAGGGAGGAAGGAAGACAGAGTCAGCACCATTCGCTTTGTTCATTTCACAAGTTAATTGGAGTACTTGCTACACACCAGACTCTTCTGGGCGTTGGCCTGGGGCTGGCCTAGGAAAACTGAGACAGACTAGCTCAGGGGCAATTACAGAGTAAAAGGATGTTAAGTGCTCTAGGAAGTAGGAAGTGAGTGGGGTTTGCTGGAAAATGAGCATGTAAGATGCTAGGAGAGCACAAAGGAGGGGCTAAAGACATTTGGAGGGTAGGGAAAAGAACCAGAGGAGCAGAGGGGGAAGTTTCTCCGAGGACTTCTCAGAAGGAGGAGCAGGAGTGAGTGGGGAAGAGAAGAATGAGCATGTGCTGGTCCCTCTGTCCCTGACCCAGCACATTCCAGCTGTAAGGAACCTCCAGTTCCTGTAGAACCAAGGGGGAGGGATTTGACCAACAAGACTCTTATAAACCACACTAAGTTTAGACTTAATTCTAAGGACAATGGGAAGCATGACAGGCTTTAGCCAAGGACATGCTGGAATTTGCTGTGTGAAGGGGGCTGGGCAAACACTGTACACAGAGAAACAAAGATCAGGCCGTAGGGAACAAAGGTGATCTGGAACCTATATTCCCCTAAGGGTGATCTGTTCCCTTAACTTCTTTCTCCCCCTTGGTCCTCTGCCCCTTCGCTGAGGGACCTCTCAGCAATTGACCTGAGATAACACTTCAAATAATTCTTTGGGCTGCTCTGATGGAATCTGGATATGGATGAGGAAAACATTAAAGCTTTATCAAAAACAAGCCCTTCTGCTTTGCCATTGGGGTAGGAGCTTGGGGGAAAATGGAACCAGCTCTCCAGAGGCCATATAGTAAGTGCTATGATCCATGGCTCTGCACCGTTGAGACCAGCAACTCAATAAATTCACAACAGTGTGTGACTGACCTCCTGGAGAGGCACTGGAAGAGCCTCTTAGTTTTACAACTCCTTAAATTCCCAGCAGTGTGTGACCTTCTGGATAGGTACTAGAAGAGTTTTAGTTGCAGAATAAATTGCTGGGATTAACAACTGGCCACTGTACCTTTTCACCAAAGTGACCACCAAGTCCAGAAGCCTGACGGTAAAGTATGGGAGCTAAGAGCCTTACCCAGTTTGACTTGTAAGCTTCAGTATTCATCTATAAAACAGGGATAATGGCGGCTCCCTCATGGGGCTGCCGTAAGGATTCAGTGCTATAAAGCATGCATGTGCAGCCGACATCCAGCCTAGGGAAATTTCTGCACACAGAAGTTGTTATTAAAGTCTTACGTATTTCGCATCAGCCCAGCCACTCTTTGGAGACCACATCTTCCCTTCTCCAATTAGCCCAAGAGCAAGATGAGAGAGTGGGGCAAGGTCCCCACTGGCGCCAACGGTTCCTTTCTCTGGAACGTAGGGCAGGCAGGAGGCTGGGAGAGAAGGAGGCACCTGTTACTTCTGGCTATCTTCATTTTGCCCGTGAGACCAACCTCCCCCAGCAGGAGCTAGTATCACTCTATGGCACAAATACCCAGGGAAAGACAATTTCTCAAGCACAACTAATGCTTAAGGGAACTGGCTGAGCTGTTATTAAAAAAAAGGCAGAGGGGAATAAGGTGTGTGTGGGGGGGTGGGCAGGAAGGGACACCCTCCCAGTAGCAAAAAGCCATCTCTTGTGAGCCACTTGAAGTTTCGACTGTAAAGACCTGTACTTTGAAAACCATAAAACACTGATGAAAGAAACTGAAGCCAACACAAAAATTGGTATATTTTGTGCTCATGGAGAGGAAGAACTAATATTGTTAAAATGTCCACACTACTCAAAGCCATCTACAGTTTCAGTGCAATCCCTATCAAAATACCAATGGCATATTTCCCAAAACTAAAACAAAGAATCTTAAAATGTGTATGGAACCACAAAAAATCCCAAATGGTCAAAGCAACCTTGAGAAAAAAGAACAAAGCTGAAGGTATCACAATCTCAGAATTCAAAATATACCACAAAGGTGTAGTGATCAAAACAGTATGATACTAACATAGAAACAGACACACAGATCAAGAGAACAGAATAGACAGCCCAGAAATAAATCTATGCCTATATGGTCAATAAATCTATGACAAAGGAGGTAAGAATATACAATGGGGAAGACAGTCTTGCAATAAACGGTGCTGGGAAAAGTAGACCACTCTCTCATACCAGACACAAAAATTACCTCAAAATGGACTAAGGACCTAAATGTGAGACCTGAAACCATAAAACTCCTAGAAGAAAACATAGGCGGTAATTACTGATATTGGCCTTAGCAACATTTCTCTAGATATGGATCCTCGGGCAAGGGAAACAAAAGCAAAAATAAAGTATTGGGACTATACCAAAATAAAATGTTTTATACAATGAAGGAAATCATCAACAAAATGAAAAGACAACTTACTGAATGGGAGAAGATGTTTGCAAATGATATGTCTGATAAGGGGTCAATATCCAAAATATATAAAGAACTTATAGAACTCAACACCAGAAAAACCAAATAATCCAATTAAAAAATGGGCAGAGGACCTGAATAGACATTTTTTCAAAGAAGACATACAGATGGCCAACAGACACATAAAAAGATGCTCAGCATTACTCATCATCAGGGAAATGCAAATCAAAACCAGAATGAGATATCACCTTACACCTGGCAGAATGGCTAAAATAAAAAACTCAAGAAAAAACAAGTGTTGGTGAGGAAGTGGAGAAAAGGGAACCCTTGTGCACTGTCGGTGGGAATGCAAATTAGTGCAGCCTCTGTGGAAAACAGTATGCAATCTCAAAAGATTAAAAATAGAGATAGCATATGATCCAGTAATTCCACTACTGGGTCCAAAGAAAATGAAAACACTAATTTGAAAAGATATATACCACCCCTATGTTTACTGTAGCATTATTTACAAGAGCCTAGATATGAAAGCAACCCAAGCATCCATTGATAGATGAATGGATAAGGAATAGGTGGTGTGTACACACACACACACACACACACACACACTGAAATATTACTCAGCTATAGAAAACAATGAGATCTTGCCATTTGTGACAACATGAATGGACCCAGTGGGTATTACGCTAAATAATATAAGTCAGAGATAAATACCAGGCGATTTCATTTATATGTGGAATCTAAAATAAAACAAAACAAAAAAACAAACAGACTCATAAATATAGAGAATAAGTTGATGGTTGACAGAGGTGAGGGCACTGGGCAAAATGGGTGAAGGGGATTGGGAGGAGTCCAGGCTTCCATTTATGGAATGAATAAGTCATGAGGATGAAAGGTACATCATAGGAATTTTTTTTTTTTTTAAGTTTAGACTCTGTCCTAAGGATAATGGAAAGCATTACAGATTTTAGCCAGGACATACTCAGATTTGCTGTGTGAAGGTTGTTGGGGGAACACTGTACATAGAAAAAATCCAGATCAGGCTGTATGGAAGAAAGGTGATTTGAAACCCACATCCCCATAAGGACTATCTATTCCTTTAACTTTTTACTCCTCCTTGGTCCTCTACCCCTTTGCATTGACTATGCATGTTCTAATCAGACCTAGACATTTTTAGAAATTGTAATAATGTATCTTAAAGATCAGGAACTAGCTGTTGTTCATTACAGTCTTGTTCCTAAAAACAAGTTAGAAATGATCTAAATATGGAATTAAGAGACTTCCATTTGGCCAAAGAGTGTGTGTAGCCATTAAAAGCTATTTGGGAAAAAAAAAAAAAAAGCTATTGGAGAATGTTTGGAAACATGTAAATATTTACATCAGAAAAGTAATATAAAATGTTCTAGAAGGATAAGGTACACCAAAGTATTCACAGGGGTTCTCTGAGGAGGTAATTATAGGCAACATAGTCTCTTTTTCTTTTTTTGCCCAGATTCCTAGGCACCTAGCCTGCTACCTCACCACCGCTTATAAACAGACATGTACTGTTTTGAAAGAAATTCTCAGTTACAAAAAAAAAAAAAGTCCTCTATTTTCTAAAGTAAAGTCAGACTCCTAATAGCAGTGTGTTTTCTAACTGCTGAATAATGTCGGTAGGATAAAGCAGTGCCATCAACAGGCCAGCTTCCAGATCACAGTTCACCCTAGGAATTCTCAGAACTCTGGGCACCCAGAGGTGCCCTATATTCCTATATACCTTCACCCCAAAGAGTTTCCTGAGCCTGCACTGATCTATACTGTTCATCCTTATCTGTGAGAAGGGATAGTGGCCTCCCAAGCATTTCAAATCTTGTCTCCATGTTGGACTTTTTCTATCCTGAGAAGTAAGCTCCGAAGAGCTGAACTGCATTGTATCCTGGCATGAGATGGCTTCCTGGTCCAGAAGCAAATCTTTGACCTCTTTACATTTCTGTTCTATCTTTGCAAGAAGTTAAATTTCAGTTATTTAAGTCTGGTTATCCCACCATCTGGGGAGCATTAAGATTTCAGATTCCTAGGCACTAACCAGAACTACTGAAATGGTCTTTGGGATGGACATCCAAGAATCATGGTGTTTCCCAGATGATTTGATGCAACTTCTCTAACCACATCTGGCATCACTGAATTAAAGGTTCTCTCCAGCTTTGAGCTCAGGGACAGACTTGAGGGGTGTGTTTCAGACTTAAAGATGCCAAATACTAAGTGAAGGGTGACGAAGAATGAGTTGGAGATATACAGGAGTAAGCATCTCTGTCCTCACCCTCACCCCCTCAGCTGTCCTCCTCTCCTCTAAGCCCATTTCCATTCATCTCCTTTATTTTATGTCATCTTGTCTCTGCTGGTTCTTCACTATGCCATCCACCAACCACGTCTACCTGTGGTACATGCCCAGCCTCAATGGAGGGTCAGCCTGGGGACCCGTGGCATTACCATTAAATACTTCGATAACTTGCTTGAGGGTCTCCAGGGAAATGCCACTGTATCCTTTGGCTAAGACATTGATCCTTAAAGCCAAGAGCATCCGACATCTCTCAGGGATTAGTGGTTTCCCAACGCCTGCAAAACAGAATTGATGTTTTTGTCTTAGAAAATCAGTCTTTTCTACCTCCATCTCCCAAATCTTTCTCCAGTTCCGTCCAGTCTCCTACCACCTTTCTCTTCTTAACTCAGATATTTGGACTGCTCTCCTTCCTGATTGTCCTGCTTCTTAAAGTCCCATCTTCTAGAAAAATGGGAAACCCCAGTTTTGCCTTTTCAGTTCTCTTTCCTAGAATGCTTCAGTGAGCCCCACCTTCCCCAAGACCCTTAGAATAGCACCCAGCCTGGATTCTTGACAGACTTTCCCATCTCACCTCATCCTGATGAACACATTCCCTAAGTTCACATTCACTTCACTTCGTTCCCTGAATGTACCATTCTGTTGGCATGGCAATGTACATGTTCCTGCCCCAATCCCATCCCTCTACTTGGCCCATTCCTTTTCTGAGATTCAGCTGAAAAGTGGTCTTGTTTGATTTCTGCTTTCCTTCCCCACCTGAGGCAGAACTGGTACTAGTTTTTAGAATGCACTAGCTATTCACGGCTGTTACAGGGTGCCTCACACTGTGCTGTACTTTATTCACCAAACCAAACAAGATCTAGAAGTCATTTAATGTTTGAAATGATTTACCTGAAGAATGTGAACGTACTAAGTTGACCTGGAGCTCTCTGGAAGAGAAAGGGAAAACCCCTCTTAGATACCTCACAGTGAAAGTTTCCCTTCAGCTGGGGAAATGAAGGGGAGAACAGGTGAATCTTTGGTGAGACAGAATAAGGCAGTGTGATGCGATGGAAGAAACCAGCAAGCCTGTGTTTTCAATGCCAACTCATATGCAAGTGAACAGGGGCTTTATCCTCCTCATTTGGAAACTGGGGCAAATGTTAATTATTTCTCTTGTTGAAAGATGGGGGCAGGTGGCATATGAATGTGTGCTGAGGAGGGGGGAATCAGACTTACTCTAGCTTATTGACAGGAATTACAGTTCTGGCAAATTTCCCAAAACCTGTAGTTATACCATAAACAACTAGAACAAAAAAAACAAAACAAAAACAGACATGGTACCATTAGATGCAGGCCGCTTTTTAAAAGTCAATAAAAAGAACTGTATGACATAAAGAGAAAAGGATACCAGTTTTTTCTTTCACGATGCTATCTATGACTTCCCTGGATTTTTGCACCTTCTTTTCAGCAGTTGGGGTGAGCTAGGAAAACGGTCAAAGCTGAGCCCGTTGAAGACTCCCATATGCAGTGAAAAAGATCAGAGGACATCCTTCCCCACCATCCCCCGTACCTTTATTTTGTAGCGTCCTTTCCCCAAGTTGACCAGATCCTCTGTGGTCAGACTTTCCCCATCTAAGGCAATGTACTGCACAAAAGAAGGGGACCCCGGTGAGCTTGAGCAGCTTGGCTGCTCCACCAAGAGCATAGGGAAGCCTCAAGCAGAATTGAATTTTGACACTCAAGAGATTTTATCCCCGCTCTGAAACATTAATGTGCTAGTGAAAAAGACAGCTTGCTCAAGAGGAGGCGGAGTAAAGAAAGCTAGAAATGAGCATAATGCCTTTTCCTAACTCCATAGAGCAGGATAAAGCCCTGTCCTAACTCATACATGTTCGCTCATAAATTCTGCTGGCCTTACCCCTCCTGAAACGAGGGGAACTTAATTTTCTTTACAAAAAGAGTGTTGGCTTGAAGCTTACCTTTTCAGGCTCCCGGTATTTGCTGTATCTGAAGCCAGGTAAAGGAAAACCCTGGGTAGTGTGAGAAAGCCCCAGCCCGGTCCCTGGCAGGAGTAGCCCCCAGAGCAGACCATCCGGCCTGCAGGAAAGGATACAGGTAAACTCCTTCTGGTTGTGATGGAATGAAGTCAGGAGACATGGCATCGCCCTCTATAACTGAAACGAGAATACCAGAGAGGCTCCTTTACGGATCGCAAGGGAGAGCCACATTCGGCATTTCTGGTAAGCCAAGAAAGGGCTCTTTCACTGCCTCTCACTTCTACAGAAATGGCTGCTTTAAGACGACCTCAGGGGTTTTCAAGTGCTCTTAGCTTCTTTGCGATGGAGGAGGGCAAAAGGCAGAGACGCAGGTGTCAGGTGTGGGCAGGGGTTTAAACGGAAGTTCAAGATCTAACCCCCTCCCTGACGCCCACCCCCATCCCCAGCTTTATTTTGTTTTCAATCTGAACCCCTTGGGTCTATTCCACTGGCCTCCAGTCCGCGGAGGTGCTTCTGAAGGGCAGAAGGATCTTCAAAATGATGCTGGGACGGCAAAGGGATTCAGACAGGCAGTCTTGGGCTCGAATGTAGCCTCTGCGGCTTACTAGGGGCATGATTCTAGGAAGTCAGCTCGTTTCTGGGTCCGTGGCCTTGCTGTAACCGGGGATGGGAAGCCTCCCCTCTCCCAGGTGCGTGCTCATGCACAGCCAGCCCCACCTTCCCCGGGATGGCCCGCGCCGCCGAGCCTCCTTCCTGGGCATGCCTGGACGTGGCCACTCACCCACTTCCACGAACTCGTTGTCCTCCAGGGCCACCTCCAGCAGGTCCTCATGGTCCAGCAGGCCCAGGCCCTTGCACCGGCGCACGAGGAAGCGCACGTCGTCCACCGAGGCGAAGCCCCCGTTGTCTGGCTTATTCTTGATGTACCTCCTGACGGCCTCGCGGCCCAGCCAGCCAATGGTGAGCTGCGCGTCCCGGCAGGGCACGGCCAGCCATTCTCCGCGCACGTGCACCGTGTACCTGGGCATGGCTCCCTGTCCCGACGGGGCCCCGACACAGGCTCCTCTGTTCGTGGCAGCCACCAGGCAGGGAGAGTTTTATCTGGGAGTGACTACTGAGGTGTGGTCGGCCGGAAAAAAACACGCCCCCTCTCTTGCCTTTACTCATCCACACATTGGACAAATATTTACTGAGGGCCGCACGGTGTCCCTTTGGGTTTTCACAGCCGAGCTCGGGACAGGAGAGGGGGGTGCAGGCAGGCTGCTTGGTGAAGCCCCACTCACACAAGGCCTGGCTTCTCCCGTGCTGGGGGTCCCAGTGCTTGCTGTCACTTGCTGGGGCCTCTCCTTCAGGGTCCCCGATTTCTCTCCCCTGGCTTCTGTGTTCTCCTCCACTGAGGGCAGCTTATAAACACCATGTTCCTGTTTTTATCTGGAATTACTCAACTATAAAATACACCTTCTGGTCCACTGTGACACCAGAGAGTGTGGTAATGTTCATTTTTTTGTTTATTCCACAAACATGCGTTGAGCAACTATTCCCTGCCACCACTAAGGTTTTCTAAAGCTGTCCCTCCACAAGGGAGACTGCAAAAGTCAGAGATCATTCTCACAAGGAAAGGTCACCATCTGGATGGATGAGCTATTGTGACTTGACGTTAACAGCTCAGACAGCCATAGTTGGGACTCCAGCTCCACCATTCTTTAGCTTTGAGCAAGTAAGTTATTAATTAGCCTCTGTTTCTTCTTCAAAAGGGAGGAGGCAAACTGCCTCACTGATGTATTTGCAGTATCTACTTGGGATCCAATCCTGGCTCTGCTATTTACGAGCTATGTGACCTCTGGGCAAGTTATTTGACTTTTTGGGGTCTCGGTTTCTTCATCTCTAAGCTGGAGATAATGATAGCGCCTATTTCAAAGGGCTTTAGGGAGGATTAAATGAGTTCGTATATGTAAAGCACATGGTGTGTTGGGAATGTTCCAGAAGTGTTTGTGATTACTATTATTTGCACTCGAATGCTCTGTGTACCTATATGGCTTTCTAAATTTCTTTCATCTTGGTACATGGATGTCCCTAATCCAGTTAAGCATCTTCAACACAGTTAATGGCTCCCTGCACCCAATTCATTACCAGTAGATTAAGGAACTCTGAAAAGCATGAAAAAGGAATCAAAGAAATGTGGGCACTGTTGTAACTAAGCAGCATTTTAGTAATAAGCCAGTTTCTAGAGATTTGATTATTGCAACAGAAAGATCTTGACATGTGTTTCCACTGAAACTGACTTGTGTTGGGAATAGAGACACAGTTGTTCACAGAAAACACGAACACCCAGAATCTCTTTCCCTGACAGCTTCTTGAGAAGCATACAAAGAAAGAACTACCCCTCCTTGAAACTTGCACTTCAGTCACCCACATCCTGACCGCACTCTGGAATTTGTCACCACCTGAATTTGATGCACATAAGAAATCTTAAATTCCACTACCCCACCTTCTGACCATGACTTTCCAGCTTTCCGGTTCTCCCCCTTCCTTCAGTCCTCTTTGCCCTTGGACCTGACCTCTGGTTGGCTCCTCCCTCCCTCCATTTCCCACCAGCTTCCTCACTTTCTCTCCTAGGAAGCTGGTGTCCTAGTTGCTTACCTGGGCCACTCTTTCTTTACTACTTTGACATCCTTTCTTAACCCTAAACCTATGCCTGCATGGAGTAAAATTCAACCCCTGGGTCATCACAACCAACTGCTATCTGTGTTCACCCTGGTGGAAGCCTCTGCTGCAGAAGGTTCTGTGATGGTGCACATCATGGCACTGTCCTTCTACCTGCCCCTCCCCCTCAGCAAGTTTCCAAAACATTCACCCTGCTTTTCAACATCCACCTCCTCTAATTTTCAGAGGAGAAACTTACCTCTTACCTCTCTGAGAAAACCAAGGCCCTTAGATGTGAAACACAACTTTCTACCCTCCTCCATTCACTCAGCCAACAAATATTTCTCAAACACTCTTGAGATAGTGTTCTATCCCAAGCACTATGCTAGGTGCTGGGAATAAAATGAGATACATTCTCTGCCTTCATGGTGCTACTCTGGTGATGTTTGCACTTACAAAGAAGACTAATAAGAAGTCCCAAGTATCCACTGTGCTGTGAGAAAACCTAAATTACCTCGGCACTCCAGTTGCCAGTCTCGGCTGAGCCCAGCTTTTGCATAATCTCAGGACAGACATCAGGCATGTGAGGGAAGGAGCCTCCAGGTGATACCACCTCCCAGCGACGTGAGTTTGAATATTTCAAGTTCATGCCCTAGGCATTGTGGAGCAGAGACAGCTATTTTCACTGTCCAAATTGATGATCCAAAGATCCCATAAGTCTATACCTTTACTTCTGTTACTCTTTATCCATCTGGAACACACTGCCAACTTCCTTTGCTTAGCCAAGTATTTCTTATCTCGTAAGCCTCAGTGTAGGCCTTCTCTTCCCCAGGAAGCATTCCCTAAACCCTTTGGTTGGGTTAAGTGGCCCTTCCCCAGGTTGCTTTAGCATATTTCTTCTTTAGCCATATATAGAGATTACTTATCTTTGTTCACCCAGAAATTATATGTATATCCCAGCCTGGCACAAAGACATTCATCACATGCTTAGTAGCTGAAGTGTGTAAATGTGGACTCCACTGAGCTGGCCCCAGGTAAACCTGTGATGTGTGTCTCTACTGCCCTCTACCTTCTTCATAGCATCCTTCACCGCCACCCTTCCAGGGGCCCTTGCCCCAGTTCACTTCCAGGTTCACTCATCAGTGATCACAGGAACGCGACATTAGCCCAGAGCGCGGGGAGAGCTTATGGGGCAGGGAAGCCTTCAAAAGCATCATCTGAGTCCGTGGATTTGCTGAAGTTTAATCACTTAGAACCTGATTACATACCAGGGATGTGAGCTGAACTCTTGCCTGTGGTCTTCTTGCCATGGAAGACAAGTGAGAGCAGAACCTTGAGAAACAGAATCACTGTGGTGTAGATGTGTCCAGGAGGAGAGGACTGCTAAGGACAGTGAGCAAGCGAGCAGCTCGGGATTACGGGGATGGACAGGAATCTCTGTTTCTTTGATACCTGCCCCACTTCTGGGGTGTTTGCGCCTATTTTAAGACTTCTAGCTAATGCTAGCACTCTTTGTGTATTTAATGACACCCTCACCCACATTTATACTCTAAGACACCATTCCTCTTGCTAAAGTTTATTTGGCCAGGGGTGGACTCAAGCTGAGTTGGAGTCTCACCTCTGGGTATCTGGAATTGAGACAGTCTTCCCGTGTGATAAAAACTATTTACAACAACAGCAAAGCTGGAAAGAAGCAGAAATGAGAGACAAGAGAGTATTGCTCCCTTGACAGTTCCAGGTGTCAGTCCTCTTCTGTCTGTCCATAGGTTCTTACAACCTCCCCCTAACCTGTATCCTTTTTTTTTTTTTTTTTAAGATTTTATTTTACTTGACAGAGAGAGCACAAGCAGAGGGAGAGAGAAGGAGAAGCAGGCTCCCTGCTGAGCGAGGAGCCTGATGTGGGACTCGATCCCAGGACCCTGGGATCATGACCCCGGCCGAAGGCAGCCGCTTAACCGACTGAGCCACCCAGGCGTCCCCCCCTACCCTGTATCCTTAAAATAATCCTCCCTTTCCTTTTCTGACTTCTAATCATTTGGGTTTTGTCACTTACAATCAAAGAATCCTAACTAATATGACTGTGGTTCCCAGACCGCGTGCAGAGGTGCCCTGGGGTACTACATTGTACTCATGGGATGCTTTGTTACTCTATTTGGTTCAAGTCATTCTATTATTTCCAGTATGTATTATATGTGTGTATAATAGGTATTATCATTGTATTATTGCCTCTGATGTGCTGTATGCTCTAGGTGGGTGAAGGATGTTTGGTGACCATTAAGGAGATGAATCAGGTTAGACAGGAGAGTATCTTGAGGGACTGATGGGACGTACTGGGGCTTGGGGCAGTCATCTGACCCCGATGGACAGGAGGGCAGCACAAGTCCAGTGGAGCAGCAGGTGGATCTGGGGGTGGGGAGCAGAGTGCTTCTCAGAGTGCATTTATACATTTTGGAAAAGGGCGTTTATACTATGCCCACTATGTGGCTGGGTGAGCAAATCCAACTGAGTGCTCATGTTATTTAAAAAGCAGAGCTCTCATCATGTTGAATTTTTGGCATGCGGCAGATTCAAATTAAAGAACTTAAAATACCAGGCAAATACTATGCTGACACTCTTGAGATTGTGCTGGGAAAAATAAATATGTAACTAATGAAAAATTTTACACTTTTAAAAGATTAAACTTTGTTAAAATGCACTTAACAAAGAACATGGCACCAGTGGGGGGAAGGTAGCTCAGCTTTATTTATGAAAATCACTGACAAAACAATAAAAAGCCAGAACGAAAACAACATTTTTAGTTACAATATGAGCTGAACTTTTTTATATTTCTTCCGTTTAAAAAAGCAAAATGTCTGAAATCAGCATTTGGTAGGTCCTTAATCCACTTTTAAGTCTTTCCCCACCAGCATGGCGGTCACCGGGTGCATACTTGCTTTGTGCCCCTGGTAGGTTTGCACGGCTTGATGATGGGATTTGTCAAAGGCAGCGAGGTCCCTGGTGAGGGAAGAAAGATGGATAATGACTGATTTTGTTAAGTAATATTTTATTTGGGAAGTATAATTTTATTATACTTGTGAAGTAAATGAAAAGATTAATCACGACTATCTATGTCATGGTTCTATATTTTTCAGAATTCCTGCCAAATCCATAGTCAAAATAACTTCAAGATATTCTTAAATTCTATCCTGCAGCCAAGATACAACTTGTTTCTCCTCTACCAAGTACTGCTTTATTATACATCAAGCGACTTAGCCTTCCAACTCATTGCAGCATTTGAATCAAAAAGGTTTGGCTTTACCGGCTTATTTCTTGTTACCTTTAAATAACTTCAGGTCCTTTTGTGTCCGTGCCTACTCACCAATTATCTCCTACTTTCTTTTAAAGATCTTTCTGGGTACATAAGATTGTTTTCTATTTATTTCCTTCTCACCAGTGTGAGAAGGAAATAAATATTTATTTATTATAAAAATTTATTTCCTACTCACCAAC